ACCATAATCTAATTTTAGAGTATTTTCACCACCATAAAAAAAAGCTGTATTCAAAACTCTTCTGGTGAATTAAAAACAAACAAATGCTGGTACCCACTGGCATTCATTCTCCATCCCCAACTTATCCCTTACTGCTCCATCCAATCCTAGGTATCCATTTCCTATCACTATATATTTGGCTGAGACATTTCATATAAATAATTCATCTAATTGTGTGGTTATACAATATACTTTGTGGTGCCTGGCTTCTTTCACTTCTGAAGTTCATCCAGGTTATATCATGTATTAGTACTTCATTCTTTTTACTATCCAATAATAGATTTGTATGAATATACCACATCTTGCTTATTCATTCATCAGTTGGTGGGCATTTGTTCCCACTTTTTGGCTATTATGAGTAATGCTGCTATGAACATCGATGTACAAATTACTGCACAGACCTATGTCCTCATTCTTCTTGGGTATACACCTAGGGGTGAAATTGCTGGGTCATATGGTAATGCTGTATTTAACGTGGTAACTGCCAAACTCTTTTCCAAAGTAGCTGCACTGTTTTCCATTCCCACCTGTAGTTTATGAAGGACCCAATTTTCCTACATCCTAACATCTGTTATTGTCTCTTTTTTATTATCACAGTACTGGCATGTGTGAAGCAGTATCTCATTGTGGTTTTAACAATTTGCATTTTCTGGCTGGGCTCAGTGGCTCACGCCTGTAATCCCAGAACTTTGGGAGGCCGAGGCATGAGGTCAAGAGATTGAGACCATCCCAGCCAACATGGTGAAACTCGATCTCTACTAAAAATACAAAAATTAGCTGGGTGTGGTGGCAGGTGCCTGTAGTCCCAGCTACTTAGGAGGCTGAGGCAGGAGAATTGCTCGAACCAGGGAGGTGGAGGTTGCAGTGAGCCGAGATTGCACCACCGCACTCCAGCCTGGCGACAGAGCAAGACCCTGTCTCAAAAAAAAAAAAAAAAACAGAAAAAGAAAAAAATAATCTACATTTTCCAGATGACTAAAAATTTTGAGCATCCTTTTGTGTCCTTTATGGCTATTTGTCTATCTTCTTTGGACAAATGTCTATTCATATCCTTTGTCTCTTTTGGTGGGGAGGGGCGGGCATTGAGTTGTATTTCTTTATATATTCTGGATATTAATCACCAATCAGATATATGATTTGCAAGTATTTCCTATTTTGTGGGTTCCTTTTACTTTTGTTCAACTTAAGTTTGTGGAGTAAGTCATGAGAGATCTTACACATAGATGTGTTAATTGTTACAAATCCAACATATAATATTTCCCCTTTTTCCATTCCATGAATAGAAAATCTTTCGTGCCATGTATGACTACATGGCTGCTGATGCAGATGAGGTGTCCTTCAAAGATGGAGATGCTATTATAAATGTTCAAGCTATTGATGAAGGTTGGATGTATGGCACTGTGCAGAGGACTGGCAGGACCGGAATGCTCCCAGCCAACTACGTTGAAGCTATTTAGACATTTCAAAGCATCACACTTGTCTGCAGGACCTATGCAGTCAATGTTTCAGTTTAGACTCTCCACTGTAACCTGAGTTCTCAAGCTGCCTATGGTTTTTGTGTCAATGTGATTCATGGTAGTACCATCCTTTTTCCTTCGGGTTTGAAAATAAGTTGCAGAATAGACATTTTTAAAGCTTCTGCAATATTATTTCTGTGCCTAGAGTCTTTCTCCATTATAAACATGTTTTAACATTTCTTTTCTAAAACAGATTTTTGAATATGCCAAAACATTAAAGGAAAAATAGCAGAAATAGTCACTTTTTCCTTGCCTACTGATTGCTTATGCTTATTCTAATTCAGTTCTGAAATTATAAAACTTATAGTCAATACAAACCAGCAACTAATAAAACCTCTAAATATGCAACACTCTGTGGATGGAATGAGCATTATTTTTAATGGTTTCAATATCTACTTATAAAAATCCAATGGATCAAATTCTACAAAAAATTACCTAAATTTAAAAAATGTGTTATGCACAAGAGTAGACAGTCTCAAAACTCTTATCTATACTTGCATTCAGCAAGCTTCTCTTACAGTTTTAAGAACATCTGTGGACTCCAATCCTAACTTCAAGGGAGCTTTCCCATCTGTATCCAGTAGGATGGCAGCATGTGGCAAGGGCAAAGGGAGGAGAGACAACCTTTGTAGGCTTAATGCTTAAGCTTACAGACTATTCTTCCTAGAAGGGAGCTAAGTCCCTGTAACTTTACAGCTATGGTAAAGCGGTCTACAAGCTTGTGTGTCTCATGAGATTCACAGGGAGAAAATCATCTTGCGAAGAGTGCATTTACTTGCAAATGACCAAAATACACCTGTACACCAGGCACCGGGTTAGACGCTGAAGCTCATCTGAAGAACAAGAGACAGCTGGTGCCCTTAGGGAATTTACAGACCCAAGAAAAGGCAGACTATGCCTAAGCATGGTAACAATGTGAGAGATTGCTACTCTCCTGCTCCCAAGTCTTCCATCTTGCCTTAAACTGGATAAAAATGCAAGTTAGGCAACAATCCCAGTGTGATTTCCAACTCCCAATCTTTCAGAACACTACAGTATATGCTATCTCCATTACAATGAGCTGGTTTTTTGTTTTGAGACAGCCTCGCTCTGCCGCCCAGGCTGGAGTGTAGTTGCTCAATCTCGGTTCACTGCAACCTCTACCCCCTGGGTTCAAGTGATTCTCGTGTCTCATCCTCCTAAGTAGGTAACTATAGGTGTGCACCACCACTCCCAGCTAATATTTGTATTTTTAGTAGAGACAGGGTTTCACCATGTTGGCCAGACTAGTCTCAAACTCCTGACTTCAGGTGATCCATCCACTTCAGCCTCCCAAAGTACTGGGATTACAGGCCTGAGCCACTGGACCTGGCCTGGCTGGTTTAGTTTTAAATTTCCTATTTATCAGTTTGCCAAGGTACACTTTGCAGTTGCTATTGCAAAGAAAAACAGAACTTTTGCCTCATAGACTTTTCTTTAAAGCTTGGAAAATGTTCAGTGTGCAGCTGGCTTTCCAATATCCTTGGGTTCCACATCTACAGATTCAACCAATCATGAATCCAAAATATTCAGAAAAAAAAGATGGTCACATTGTACGGAATAGCTACAGACTTTTTTGTCATTAGTCCCTAAACAATACAGTATATTTATGTAACATTTACATTATATTAGGTATTATACAGAAAGATGATTTAAAGCACAGGTCCCCAGCCTTTTTTGGCAGCAGGGACAGGTTTCATGAAAGACAACTTTTCCATAGAACGGGGACAGGGGTGGGGAATGAAACCATTCTACTCCACATCAGGCATTAGAGTCTCATAAGGAGCACGTAATCTAGATCCCTCACATATGCAGTTCATGAAAAATTTAATGCAGCCACTGAGCTGACAGGAGGCAGTGCTCAGGTGGTAATGCTTGGTCACCAGCCACTCAACCTCCTGCTGTACAGCCTATTTCCTAACAGGCCAAGGACTGGTACCACTCAGCAGCCAGTGGGTTGAAGAACCCTGATTTAAAGTATATGGGAGAATGCGCATAGGTTATATGCAAACATTACATCATTTTACACTAGAAATTTGAACATTCATAGGGTGGGGGTGGTCCTGAACCAATACCCCTTGGATACTGAGGGATGACTGTATATATAAAAGTAGAGAATCCTGCATTCACCAACTAGCCTCAAAAATGGTCAACGGTTAATCTTTCTTCTTCACCCTACCAATGCCCTCCTCTCATTATCTTAGTGAATCCTACTAGTCACCTTTCAGTGTGTATCTTATAAAGGACTCCTACGACATTAATCACAACAAAATTAACACACCTTAAAAACTGGCAATCAATATCCAATGTTCTAATCTTCCTGCCATCTGCTTGTGCTAGTTGATCCGATAACAGGGAAGTCCTTCGTATGTATCTCCACTAACACGCAGGCTACAAAGAGCCATCTTCAAGAAACTACAAAAAGGAGAATTATGTCTATGGGTTACATCTCAACCAGATCTCACTAAAATGTATGAGCTGCATGCTGTCTCACCCTCCCCCGCCCCCCCAAATTCATGTTAAGTCCTAACCCCCAAGGCCTCAGAATGCAAGCTTGGAAATAGGATCCTCAAAGAGCTGTTAATTAAGATGAGGCCCTGATCCAACAGCTTTGGTGTTTGTTGGATTTGTGAAATTTGGACAAATAAACAGGCACACAGGGAAAAAGTCATATGAAGATGAGAGATTGGGGAAATACCTCTATGTGCCAAAAATGGCCAGCAAATCACCCCAGAAAGCTAGCTGGGGAGAGGTATGGGACAGATGTTTCCTCACAGTGCTTAGAAGGAACAAACCCCGCTGATACCATATCTCAGAACACTACCATTCAATACTGAGACATTTGTTTGGTTATTAGGCTTATGGTAGTTACAGCAACACTAGGAAACTAATATAGTTTTTCAACATCACTGTTTACCTCATTGTTGTGAATTTTTTCTTCTTGTAACTATGGAGCTTTTCTTCGGCTGCCACCAAGGTGCTTGGTCCTGCAGAGGAAGCGCTGGTGATGGTGGGACGAGGCATTTACTTCATCTGGTCGCTAGCCCGGCAGTTCCAGCTCTGCCCTTGCCCACACGATGTGAACTCTCTCTCCAAGCTCTCCTGCATCTACTCAGCCTTCATTTGACTAAACCTCTCTTGTAACATGTTCAATGAAAAACTGAACTCATTAACAAAAAAATAAAAATCACCACTTCTGGATTTAGATGCCAGTGGAACCCATAAAACTATGAATAAAACCGAAAATCTGTGTGATTAAAAAGCAGACCATAAAAGGGGAAAAAGAAAATAAATGCTTCATGTTTGTAGAGGAATACAATGTACACTTTGTGGTATCTGAATTATGCTATTCATACTCATTTCAGATCTCACTAAAACAACAAAACAAAAAACCAAAGTGTAGACAACAAAAAACAAGTACCAGACTTTAGTTTTTATAATTTTATTTCAGGTAAAAGTGCATTTCTTAAAAAATGTTTCAACATCCAGTTTCCATTGCCAAGTGGTAACAGTCAACTCTAGATGCATGAAAAGTTTTCATTGTGACTCAAACAAAGATTCTGCCCTCCTCAACAGTCATAAAGAACCAGAAATAGTAACTCTAAGTGTGCCTGCTTCAAACATCATATAAAGCAGTGGTCCCCTAACCTTTTTGGCACTAGGGAACAGTTTCGTGGAAGACAATTTCCACAGATGGAGGTGTTGGGGGAGATGGTTTCAGGATAGAACTGTTCCACCTCAGATCACCAGGTATTAGATTCTCATAAGGTGTGCACAACCTAGATCTTGGCATGTGCAGTTCACAACAAGGTTCATGCTCCTGTGAGAATCTAATGCCAACCAGGGGTTTGGGACCCCTAGTATAAGCATTATAAAATAAAATTAAAAAAACCTGACTGCACCATTATTTCCATTATTTGCAGGTAAGTGAGGAATGAACAAGTACTTCTGTTAAGTTTCAACTTAAATCATTTTTAAGACTTATCAAATATAAATATTTTGTGAATGTAAAACTAAGCTCTCTTAAGAGTTTACCAATTGATGGGGACAATATAAAGCTAATGACTGATTTGGCTTCTATCAGTCTTTTTCTAAGTGCTATCAGTCAGGTCTATCCACAGGAGGTAGTGCTGAAAGCAACTGACAATTCACAGACTATCAAGGTCCCTTAACATCATGGCAAATACGTAACTATAGTTTGAGAGTTTAAGTAGAAAAAGAAGTGTATTTATAAAGTACTAGTGTTTCCTAGTATCTGTGTAATTTGAGCAATAGTAAAACAAGTAAAATCAAGAGAAGCCATTTTGGAAAATACAAGAGTAATAGAAATTAAGTAATCAAGACCTCACTCTGTCAGCTAGAAGCAAGTAATTAAATGGACTAATATGCCATACTGAACAAAGCTATCAACCATACCAGGGATCGACAAACTCTGTAAAAGGTCAGACAGTATTTTAGCCACTGCAAGCCATACAGACATTGTTATACTATTGAACTCAGCCACTGAAGCAGGATAGCAGCTAAAGATAATATGTAAATAAGCACAGCTGTCCCAATAAAACTTCATTTCTGGATATTTAAATTTTAATTTGTTTTCATGTGTCACAAAATATCCTTCTCCTCTTGACTTTCTTGACCCTTAAAAAAAGTGTAAAAACCAGTCTCAGCTCACAGGCAGCACAAAAAAACAAGTGGCAAGCTACAGTTTGCCAACCTGTGCTCTGTAAAAAACTTAGGAGTTAAGACTGCAATCTTTCAGTTTCTATATTCAAAACCAATTTTGCTCTTAATTTTGTTTTCTTTTGGAAAATTCCTATCCTATAAAAATAAAAACTCTTCAGACACTTGTTAGCTATTCAATTATGTATCAAAATAACTATTACACTATACTCTATTTCCAGTTCCATGACACTTTACTGTGAAGGTGATCTTCCTAGTTTTATGTTGTTTATCCATTTAAGAAACAGCTTGCCTCTATACTAAATGGACTATGCATTAAAATTCCAGCTTAATCTGCCTTTTCCATTCTTTTCATCTCATCACTTCGCAGTGCATCAATTTCTATAAGCATATAAGCTTGCTGTCTAGTAAATTTAGCTTAATCTACAATTATAAATTGGCATAGTATGACCAAAATATTCCCTCTGCTACAAGTAGAGTACAAAAGTTACAGGCTTTTTTTCTCATTTGTGTTATCAACAAAAGAAAATATTGCCTTCAATTTTTTAGGTAAGATGAGGGGTTATCTTTTATTCCAATGGTATTTACGGCTTACCATGTCATACGTGGTTTTAATTGTTCTTTGGAGAAAGAAAGGCTTAGTATGTAAAGAAAAAAAATGATTAGGACCCCATCGAAAAATTTAACATCCTATTTCAGAACTGAGTAAAAATTCTCAGAACTCTGTTTAGACTACTATATTAAATATTTATGGATCTTCAAACTTCAATGACTCAAATTTTAATGGCTACTTGCAAAGAGCAATATATAAAGCCTGACACATAATAGACTTATTAACTGAACATCAGAAACCAGGAAACCTGATTTGTCTTACAGATCTAACTATTAATAAATTTTGATAAATTTTTAAAACCTATTACTTAACTTTCAGCTACATTTTCTTTAGTGCCTTCAGTGTAGTTTTTACAGACCATTTAAATATGTGAGGAAAACCTAACACCTTAACCAAATTCCAAGAAAAACGTGCTTTTTGAGAATCAAATTATTCAACTCTTTCAAATTCCACTTTATAATGAAACAGGAATTTTCAATCATGTAATGTAACAGAAAATTAAGTCACCAGAAGTCTTACAGTAAAATGACAGGGTGTATATCTGCACTAGACTGACTTCTTAATTATAGCACTGACAAATTTAATTGCCAGATTATTAGGGGTAGTGTCGATTTTCCATGTTTATTAATAAAATAATCCATATAGAAGGCAAGATTTACAGACTAAATATATTTCTAACTTAGAAATTGACATATATTAATAAACCCTAACGCACAAATATTCATAAGAAAATACTGTCTAATTTGCCTTATAATTCTTCATAACATGAAATTCTTAAAGTCTGCCTATTTAAAAAATAAGTCTTCCATATTTTAAAAAGGCCCTTAAAGAAGCAAAATTCTACACTTAACTTCCTTAAAATTTTTGAACTTTGGCTGTAAGATTTCAAAACCAGTCTGCATCCCCAATTCATAAACTTGACAGTTATCAAGGACTTGAATCTGCTGGGGTTACCAAAACCTAATACACAGCCTGAAGCCTCTTAGGCCCATCTACCAGTACAGACCACAGTCATCTGTATGAATCACCTGGAACTGTGTCTAAAACTGAAGACTCTTGGAGCTCATTACGGACCTACTAAATCAGAATCTGCTTGTTCATATGCACATCCAAGTTTCAGAAACACTATGTTAAAAATCAAAACCTCACTCTACTGTTTGTATACAAAGTACAAACATTTCTAATGGCTTAGGAACAAGATGGACATGGGTTGCAGCAGTGAAGAAACAGTCTCCGTCCCCTACCTAAGTTTTAGTCTAATAATGTCAATAATTGCTATTTTACAGCCTCCTAGGCTGAATGACAAATTACTTTCTTGAAAATCAATTATAAAGAATATGAGATGAAACCTAGGCCTTTCTTACTGAATTAGTCAAAGTTGGAAGAAAAAAATACTAATTTATACTTTCTCTTTACCTTGAAAAATAAAACTTCACTTAAATATTCACAATTCCCACCATTTCCCTCCAATTTTGTTTCTTGCCTCACGACTTACTCTTCACGTATTTATGTTTAAATATGAAACAGTGTCCTTGACTATCTTATCTTCAAGCTGTACAGAAAAAAAAAAAACCCATGGGCTATGTTAGGATTAATCATGCCTTTTTTTTTGAGAAAGAGTCTCGTTCTGTCACCCAGGCTAGAGTGCAATGGCATGATCTCAGCACACTGCAACCTCCATGTACCAGATTCAACCAGTTCTCATCTCAGCCTCCAGAGTAGCTGAGAGTACAAGTGTGTACCAACATATTGGGCTAAATTTTCTATCTTCAGTACAGACAGGGTTTTGCTATATTGGCCAGGTTGGTTTTGAACTCCTGGTCTCAAGTGATATACCCACCTGGCCTTCAATCATGCTTTTAATTTTCGAGTTTAAATCCTGTTTTTGACTGTATTATCCAATAGCATTATTTAACCTGACACATCCTTTATTTGGAATTGGAGCAAAGTTCCTTATGATTCACCAATGGTTTTCAAACTTTTTCAAGTGGCAGAGCCTTAACAATGAGGTCACTGAAATGCTGAAAATTTAAATCCACTATAGAATCCAGAATAGATTTCACAGATATGAAAATCATGGGCTAGGTGCGGTGGCTCATGCCTATAATCTCAGCACTTTGGGAGGCCCAGGCGGGCAGATCACCTGAGGTCAGGAGTTCAAGACCAGCCTGGCCAACATGGTGAAACCTCCTCTCTACTAAAAATACAAAAAAGTTAGCCAGGCCTGGTGGTGTGCACCTGTAATCCTAGCTACTCGGAAGGCTGAGGCAGGTGAAACACTTGAACCCAGGAGGCAGAGTTGCAGTGAGCTGAGATTGCACCACTGCACTCCAGCCTGGGCAACAAGGGTGAAACTCTGTCTGAAAAAAAGAAAAGATACTACACTCCTGTATGCTACCAGTTTCTTCTTAGATATGCATAAGATAATTAAGATACCACATTTGAGTGTTCTTGTTATTATCTGACATTTGTTTTATTAACCATTAGAAAAGATTTGAAAAAACAGATTCCATTTTAATAGTGAGACAACACAGTGGAGCTGATCATGGAATATTAATGTTTTGCTATTTAGGAATTACTAACAGGGAATTTGCAGGAAACTTTAAGGGAAGAATATTGCAAATAAGGTGCCAAAAATATATGCTTATAGCCACAGCAAAATGAAGACTGTGTTTGCTCCCAAATATTTTAAAATGCAACCTTACTAAACTACAATGTTTTTAAAATTAATACTTGTGCTTACATAAAAGCCAGTGATTTAAGTATGTGTTACTCATTTTGGTCACATTTTCTGCTATTACTGTTTGGCTTCCCAAGAACTTAATTCAATCACCAAGTTTAGTTCACACAAACGTTAAGGCACATAATCACGAAATGAGCTAATTTTAATTCTCAAGTGTGTTAAAGAAACCTGCTCCCCTCTGCCCCAAACACATATACATACCTGCTTATGGGAGTACCTCCTCCTTAGTAATTTGAGAAATAAATGATGCACAATGTAAACCATAATTATATTCTTTTTAAAGAAATTAGTCTTTTTCATTAGTTACTTCAATCCACAATCCGTAATTCAATGATCCCAGAATTTCTTTATAAAATCATCCTTGGTATATAAATATATTATTTAGACCCAAAAGTATCTGTGATTATGAAGAATTTATGATGATGAAAGACACCAACTTTTATAGGGGCTGATGATGAAAAAAGGTAACAATTTTTATAGAGATCCCTGAATATAGGAGAGCTAACTAGGCACAAGGATTAAACTTTCTATGACTTGCTGTAGGTTATGTGCCTTGCTAAGTAGGGATTAGCTTCTGAATAAAATGTGAAAACTGAGCTCACTCACTCATTCTATTCAGAGAACAAATGAGATATATTCTCAGTTAAAAAGATGAAACAAATATGGGAGTCAGGCACTAATATTACTTGGCAAAATTTACAAAAAGGTTTTAATTACGTTCCCTATTTTAAAAAAAACCTAGGCAAAACATACACACATTAAAAACAGTAAGTTTCAAATTTCTTCGAAGTTTCCTTTTAGTTGAAGGTTAAAAAAGCAGATCTACTTTAGATTTCGTACAGTCCAACTTGCAGTGAAATACTGAAACTAACTTTAAGAAATATAACGAGGCACACTTTCTAGTGGCTGATACCCTCTTCCAAACCAAAAATAATAAGGAGGTAAGGGTATTAACAGCAAAGTTGTATAACATTTCCTTAGTTCTATAATTTTACTTATTCTAGATACTTTTAGAAAATAAACTCATGTTTTAAGTAAGACTGTTAACTAACTACAAAACTATTTGTTGTACTTGCAGATACAGACTCCTACAAGTATGTGCAGCAAGCCCATGAAGCACTTCTACTGTCCATACTGATATAGTTCAGTATTTAATATATACAAAATGTTTCTATTGAACAGAACCAAGGTATTTCACAATAAGCTGAAAAACCCATGCAATTAACAAAGAATGAAGTTTATAAATTAAAAACATTGTCGTCTATACATAATGTACAATTACGCATTTAAAAGTGAATACTATATGTCTCATAAGAGTAAATTTTCAGTCAACTGCTGCTGCACGAATATTTGCTAATGCAAATGAATAAAATCTTAGTAAATTCTGCATTAATGTTTTAACCCCCAGAAGTTGAAACTTTTCATATTTTTCTTGAAAACTGTCCAAAGTAGACATCTGCAGGAAAAGTTCCAATTCTCTTGCATCACGTATGAGGTTTTTAACCAATAATAAATTTCCTAAACCTCAGGCCCAACAAACATGAATTAAACAAACAAACAAAAAGTATAAACACCTTTATCGGTTCAGCAAAAATTCAAAGAAAAATGTTCAATTTTACTTATTTTACATGTTTCACTAGAATAGGCATGGGTTTAAGAAAGTGTGAAATAAAATGTATAGTTCTGTTTCTAGTTTTTGCTTTCACATCTCAGAAAGATAAATTTCCTGAAAAACCACGCATAGCAGCCAAGAAAATATATATTAAAAAAAAAAAAGATCTTACATAATGAACTTACAAAATTGAACTTACATAATAAGTCACTGTCCTTCAAGGTTTCAAATGTTATCAACTTTGCAAACAGTCTCTTCTTTGAAATTGTGCTATTATTTCAGAACTTGTTCCCTCCATCAAGAAATCCAGTGATGTTTAAAAAAAAAAAAAAAAAAACTTTCAATTTTTTCTTAAAATACTAAACAGAATTTTCATGGGGTGGTGATCTCCAACGTGACTGTAGATTTTTTATTATAGAGTTTGCCATACTACCTAGTTTCTCATGCATTTCAAATAGTTGGCTTCCTGAATAATTATGAAGATCTTCTGAATCCAGTTGAAGCGCAAGAGCACTAATCTGTGCCACAAGATTTCTGGATAACGGAGTTTCTAAAGCAACAGTATCAACTGTACCTAAAAGAGAGGAAAATCACAATTAAACCTATACCGGACAAAAACTAAATTATTTAGATCATCTTCTGAGTCAGTCAAAGTGCCTAGATTTCAAATTGAGACAGCAGGCTAAGGTATCTCACTCTTCAAGGAGACAAGTTGACAGAAAAATCTACCATAGCTTATTATTATTATTATTATTATTTTGAGATGGAGCCTCATTCTGTCACCCAAGCTGGAGTACACTGGTGCAATACTGGCTCACTGCAAACTTCGCCTCTTAAGTTCAAGCGGTTCTCCTGCCTCAGCCTCCCAAGTAGCTGGAATTACAGGCGTGCACCATCATGCCCAGTTATTTTTTGTATTTTTAAGTAGAGACGGGGTTTCATCATGTTCCCCAGGCTGGTCTTGAATTCCCGACCTCAAGTGATCTACCCACCTTAGCATCCCAAGGTGCTGATTATAGGCATGAGCCACCATGCCCAACCTACCATAGCTTATTATTATGTGCTATTCCCATAAAGATTACTCTGTGCTATTGAAGAAATTTAAAAATGGGTAGACTACTTTATTAACATAATTAGAAGAGAAAGTATATTGTTTATATCCTTGAGTCCTTGATAGAATACAATTTGACAAGAAAAACAGGTAGACATACACATTTGATGTCCATTCAGTTAGTTTTTCATATGCTTCATAGTAAACACAAAATAATTGTTAAAAAAAATACAGCATGGTCAAACTAGACTAAAACTGAAAACTTAACAACAAAATACTTCAAGAAAGTCAGCTGATCTTCTAAATTAAATTATCCCCCTTTGCTAAAATATACCTGAGGCAAGTCTTTCTTCATCAGGTGACAAAGATTTATTTTCCATTCCATTTACTGTTTTTTCAGAAATATCAAAAACTGGAATCTCTTCTAGTCCACGAGACTTCACCTTGATTATAAAGTTGGAGCAGAAAAAAAGCAAAAAACGAACACTTTGAAATTTACTTTTAATACAAACCCTAGAAAACATATTGTATAGAACCTATATTCTACCAACCATCACAATTAAGAGCTAATGCTGCTAAGAAAGTATGTTCTAATTACACAAAATTTAGCATTACAAAGTATTTCCTCAGAGAGAGGGTTAGGATTTAACAATATTTCATAATGGTTTCTCAAGAAATATAGCCGTAGCAGCTGAGAAAATTACATTCTACTTCCCAAGTTCAAGAATGCAGTGTAGAAAAAGTCTACAGCAGAGATTTTCAAAGTTAAAAACGTGGAATTTTTTTAAAAGAATACAATTTTTTGGTTGGGCACAGTGGCTCAAGCCTGTAATCCCAGCACTTTTGGAGGCCAAGACGGGCAGATCACTTGAGGTCAGGAGTTCAAGACCAGCCTGACCAACATGGTGAAACCCGTCTCTACTAAAAATACAAAAAGTAAAGTGCCTGTAATCCCAGCTATTCAGGAGGCTGAGGGAGGAGAATCACTTGAGTCTGGGAGGTGGAGGTTACAGTGGGCCGAGATCGTGCCACTGCACTTCAGCCTGGGCGACAAGGAAAAAAAAACAAAACAAAACAAAAAACCAATTTTCATAAGTGTTCCTAGGACCTATGGACCACTGATTGAGAAAATGCTTCAAAAAGTCAACTTTCTGAAAATAAGTTCAGTAATCAATCATATGACTCAATTCTACCTCTGGTTATATATATCCAAGAGAAATAAAATCATCTATCCATATAAAAACTTGTAGACACAGTAGTATTATTCATTATAGCAAATGGTGGAAACAACCCAAATGTCTGTCAACTGGATAAACAAAACGTGGTATACACATATAATGGGATATTATTCCACCTCAAAAAGGAAATTTTGCAACATGGATAAACCTTGAAAACATTAAGCTAAGTGAAGCCAGTCACAAAAGATTACAGGTTGTATGACCCCACTTTTATGAAATGTCCAGAATAGGCAAATTCATAGAGGAAAAGCAGGCATGGCTGGGCAGTGGAAACGAGGAGTGACAGTTTGGGTAATAAAAAAAAAGATTCAAAATTAGATCATGTGCAATGTTATTTAACTCTGAATATACTCAAAACTAACTGTACACTAAGGGAAGGTGAATTTTACACAACATAAATCATATCCTAATAAAGCTGTTAAAAAAAAAAAAAAGTAATTCTCACAGACTTTCCCAAGACACTCAGAAACTGAATCAAAATACTTTAGAAACTAAACTTGATCTGTGAGACAGAAAATTACTATTTTTTGGTTTTCTCCCATGAGTAACGGGTTAACAAATGTTTAGAAAATCACAAATAAATGAATACAAAATCAAGGACCTTCAGGAATGCAGCAGAAGTCTTCGGTAGCTGGCAAACGCCAGGTCTGAGAAATTCTGATTCACAACATTGCTTACTCTGTGTTTTTCATTTATTCACAACTTCTGATACAGGTTGAGTGTGCCTAATCCAAAAATGAAAAATCTGAAGCTTTCTGAGCACTGACATGATGCCCGAATCCTCTAATGAGCATTTTGGATTTCAAAATTAGGGGATGTTCAACTGCTAAGCAGATGGATAATGCAAATATCCAAAAAAAAAAAAAAAAAAAATCTGAAGTCCAAAACATTTCTGGTCCTAAGCAATTCACCTAAGGAATACTCAACCTGTAGTGTCAATGAATAAAGTGTCTCCGAATGGATTTCAGCAGAGTCTGTGAATCCTTCTGAAATTGTATGCAAAATTTTCTGTATAGTTTTTTAGTGAGGAAGAATCTTAGATTTCATCAGTATCTTAAAAAATGCTTATGACCCAAAATATTCATGTGCACAACACTGACAGGAAGGACAAGAAAAATAAGTCACAAATGTGCTAGACATCAAAATCAAAATATGGTGACCTACAAATCTGTATGGTTTTGGTAGATGCTTGGATTTGAACATCCAGATTTTAACAGTAGCAGACATGGAATCAAATACTGACTGGTAGAAATGAAAGAGAGAAGGGGTTGAAGAAAACTCAAAGAGAAAACAATTAAAAATGTATCTGAGGTACATTACGTAAGTATATGCAAATGAACCAATTTCCCTCCGCCATTATAAAGTGATGTTTTAACAAACTTCTGTAACTATTGCTAAATCATGTATTAATACATTGGACTAACATCTAAGTTTTTACCTGCTGCTCATGATATATTCTGAGGGCCTTTTTTACATTGGATACTTTTGGAGAACGAATAGGAAGAGTTTTTATTTCAGATGCTGTAAGAGTACTCAAATCACCAATAGTTTTTATGTTCTTAGCTCTAATGAGTTGGCCCAGGCCTCTTGCCCTGAACAAAACAGAAACAGGAAATTATAATTATACCGTTTTATTTATTAAGTTGAATTTTCCCATGTAAGCGCAATCACTGATGTTAGCCCACAGTGAAGACAGGCACACGTATGTGTAATTTAAAATAAAATTTGAATCTGATGTGTATGTCTCGCATAATGGAACAGTACTGGAAACTGAATGAGCCTACTACTACTTTTATGCTTTACATACATCTTCAATGGTTTATATACATCTTTAAAGCACATATTTTGTGCTTTACATACATCTCTTTAACAGATGATTCTTAAGTACACATAATTGCTTTTTAATAGTGTTATAAACATAAGTAGGGTAAGATGACAAAACTTGTTATGCTACGTGTAGCTTTCAGTGTTTTATTTTATCTAACCTACAACAGCCTTGCATTGCAATGTTCCCTCTCCCCAACAACTTTTTCTTTTGAGACAGGGTCTCACTCTGTCACCCAGGCTGGAGTGTGGTGGTGCAATCTCAGCTCACTGCAACCTCTAGGGATCAAGCAATCCTCCCATCTCAGCCTCCCGAGTAGCTGGGACTAAAGGCATGCACCACCATGCCTGGCTAATGTATTTATTTTTTAAAGACAGAGTTTCGCCATGTTGCTCATGCTGGTCTTGAAGTCCTGGGCTCAAGCTACCTGCCCACCTCAGCTTCCTAAAGTGCTGGGATTACAAAGCATGAGCTACTGTGTCCAGCCTCTGCAACTTTAATCAGAAATGGACTTGGTATGTCTGACACATATTCAATCATTAAATTCCTCAGAGAAGTTTTGCAATGGCATGCATGTTATATAAACAAATAAATAAATAGATTAATTAATTAATTTAAAAAAAGAGAGAAAAGTTAAAGAACACTTCATTTCCTATTGGGGATTATGCCACCAGAGGTAGCCTGATAATTCTGTTAAAGAGAAACAATCTCAAGGCATCACAAACTACCTAAAATAATTATTTTAATCAAGATATAGTGAATGATCAGCTGGGCACAGTAGCTCACACCTATAATCCCAGTACTCTGGGAGGCCGAGGTAGAAGGATCACCTGAGGTCAAGAGTTCAAGACCAGCCTGGCCAACATGGTGAAACCCCGTCTCTACTAAAATTACAAAAATTAGCCAGGTGTGGTGGTGGGTGCTGCGCCTGTAATCCCAGCTACGAGTGGGAGGCTGAGGCAGGATAATCTCTTGAACCCAGGAGGCAGAGGTTGTAGTGAGCCAAGATCGTGCCACTGCACTCCAGTCTGGGCAGCAAGAGCGAGACTCCCTCTAAAAAAAAAAAAAAAAATTAAGATATAGTGAATGATCTACATGCATGTATTTAAGTTTCCAAGATGTAGAACACCAAGGAAACAAACTTTTAATTAGAAACAAAACACCTGATGAACAAGTTTTATGTATGTGAGCCTCATGCTTCTTACATATGACTAAACAGCTATACGGTTTTGGTGGTAGTAGAAATGGCATTCATATTCCTCATAAGGTTTATATTAGCATTAAACAAGATGATGGATATAAGGGTTCAATGCAGCACCTAAAATATGCATACATCTTATTGCATTAAGTATTTCTCATATTGCCTTATGTGGCTTACTGTCTCAGTTGCATTTTTATTTCAAAAATAAAATGTGTGTGTACATGCCAATCAATTCTAAACATGAGAACCCTGAGAATTCAAATAGTCCTCTTAAATAAGTGGCATCTTGTTATATAAGCAAAAAGCCTAAATAACCACTTACCACATGTTTGATGTAATCTGAGGTAAAATGATGTCAACTGGTGCCATACAGTTCACTAAAGCTGGGTAAACACTTTCTGTTGGGCATGGTATTGATTCTTTGGCCATTTCTGAAATCTTAGAATAAATTTCAGAAACTGTTAAACAGAGGTCAACTGACTGAACATGAAAATATAAAGTGACATGAAAACTAAAGCACTTCTTACTAAACACTTCTTTGAGCTCTTAAATTTAGGGCTACGTGATCCTGGGGACAGAAATCCTTTGGCTGAAGTGGTATTATGCTAGACAGAAGAAAGGAGAGAGAAAAAAAAAAACACTCAGAACCCTAGATGACTATAACTTTACAATTTTTACAACTTAGACTATAATCATTTCTTCAAAATTTCAAAAAACATTAATCTACCTAATCAATTACTTGCTGGATCATTACTGCCTCTTACCATTTCCTTTCTCCTTACTGCATAGATGAAAAGAATATTTCAACACAAAGATGTTTTTCAAATAGTTCACTTTATGACACATCATGCACATATAACTCTGTGTCTGTATACATATATGTATATCTTAAAGCCTGCAGCTTACCTTAGACTGTGCAACAGGGGATGTTTTAACACTTTTTCCTATGGGAGAACTATTTGAAGAATGGGACCTAACAATAGAACATCGTCTATCAATGTCATCTGCCAATCCCGCTTGGTATATTGGATCTGCAAAGGAGACACGGCGAACCTGAAAACACAGATCAGGATTTTACTAAACAAAATTAAAGTTTTTAAAAAAATTACACTGTATGTTTTCACTGAGGTTACCCAAAAATAGAACGAGGATTTAGAAAATTTATTTCACTAGACATCAGCTGCAGTTCTTCCTAGTGACTGTCTTCACAGATCATACTAACACCACAATTCATTCTAATTTTCTGTATTTTAAACTGTCTCTGAATAATACCAAAGATTGTGAAAAAGGCATAGTAGCAAAAACTTAATGAAACTGCATGTGGCAGTTAAATGTGTATGATCTGATTTTAATAACTTTATGGGATTACCAGACTAGAAAAGACGACTGATGTAAAAACAAATAATTTAATCTCTAGAGTCTCAGTAGATGAATTTTCTGTGTATCCTGCAAGTTGAGACACCATATGAATAACAGGAACAGGAATTTTGAAGGAACATTTTCAATGTGCTTGTTGGAGGCAAAAAGCAAGGTGTCATGTCTATGTATGCATGCTTGTATAAATAAAATGTGTTCTACAGTAAATACAAAGTTCAAGTAATTAAGGAATTCCAACATCTTACTTTTTTAGGCAGCAATTTTATTAAATAGACGACAAATTATGCTATGTAAATACACCAAACTTTTCTTATTTTTTCTATTCATTCAACAAACTATGTGCAAAGCACAGGGCCTGACACTAAAGCAGATATACAAATAATCCATCTTTTCTAAAGTAAAAAATCTGTAATTCAGCTGAGAAAATGGGGATATGAACAACTATAAATAACATCACATCTACAAATTAATAAAGGCACAATATTTTAATTAGATATGGCTTGAAAAAAAGTTTATATAAACATGCATCTAAAATATAAAACAGAATAATGTCCTAGCACATGACAACTACTAAATCTGCTTTATCAGTAGCAATGTTGCCTGCGTTCCTAAATGCATCCTCAAATGATATTATGGTACAAGCAGAATAAAAGACATAGGAGCCTTATCTATTTTGCCAAAGGTGAAAAATGTGCATGGCTGCATAAAGATCTTTAGTATTATAAAATGAAAGATGTTTTATCTAAAGGGCTTCAGTCTCCTTTTTTCAAAACCTTTTCTTCTACCTCCCCTTTCCTTGGCAACCATTATGGTAAATAATCAAATGAGTAGGGATACAACTGAAATATTTTGTCATTCACCAGAGGTCACTGTATGGCCAAAATGTTCCAAACAAATACTGGGTTCTTTAATTTTCAGCCTCATTCCCCTTACCTTGTTAACCGGTGATGAGATTTCATCTTCCTGGGATCTTTTTAGTCCTCTCTTTAAAATGCTTGTAGATGGAGAAGCCAAAGGAGACCAGACACAGCGTGTCTGCATGCCACTAGGACTATCATTTGCTGACACAAGTGAAGGATCAAGTTCCCTTAGTTTTTGAGGAGATGCATTATTGTCTTCTTCTATTATTAGTTCAGAGATAGCTGTTCCAGATGTCAGAGAGCGCGATGGTTCCTCCACTTTCTCTGAAGTATGATCTCCCTGTAAAATATCACTTTCCCTTATCATTTGATTGTTATCTAATTTTTCTTCAGATTTACTACATTCAGTATTTATTTCATTTTTATTAGAGTCAATGATTCCTTCTTCAGCGCTCATTTCAACTGTGTCACAAACAAAGTTGTCCATTTCCGCATTCAACATTTTTGTTTCAGCTTCATCAGACTTTGAGGTTTTGGTAGTTATGATCTCATTCTCTGTTTCATCATCATGGCCAGTTTCAGCCTTTGCCTCACCAATCATAGTTTCTTGGTAATTTTCTATTTCAGTATTCGTTTTTTCAGATGAGCATGGGTCACATACATCACTTCCTCCACCTAGTTCCCCAACTGCTGTTTGTTCAGAAATCTCAGTCCAAGCATTCAATTTTATAGGTGTAGTATTATCAGAAAGACTAATACCTGAATTAAATTCGTCAGATGCTGCTTCTTCGGCATTCAGTTTAGCTGTGTCTGCTTCAGACTCATCGTTTGTATTATTTTCTTCTATTGCTGCTTCTTCAGAAATATCAGTTTTGGTATTCTCTTGTTCAGGGAAGCTAGCTTCATTTCCTACATCCAATTCCATAGTTTCTACTTTCTCTAGGTTGGATTCTGTTACTTTACATGCACTTCCTTCAACAGTAACATACTCTAGACTCAGCTCCTTTTTGGGGATTTCTTCTAGTTTTTCTTTTGTCTCCAAAGATTCCTGTGAGGCATTTTCCAAGTCACCTAAACATGAGCCAACGGTTTTAAAATTTTCATTAGATGACTCTTGGCTTTCCACAGACACTGCTTCACTAGAATCCTTATCACAAGTTTCCTCTCTAAAGTTTATTATTTCAGAAGGAGATTCTTGCATAGTATTTTCTTTTAATTTGGTTTCAGAAACAATTAATGAATCATTAACAGTATCATTATCCTCTTTGAGACCCAAATTAAAATATACACTATGATGTTCATCTAAAAATTGTCCTTCCGAATCTGGATTAGGTTGAGAAGTTTCTGATGTGACTATAGGTGTCTGTACGTCTGCCTTTTTGGTTTCATTAATCTCTACATCATTATTTTCTGTATTCTTTAACTTTTCCTGAGGTTGTGGTTTTTCCCCACAGCAATCACAACTTTTAGATCTCCTCACCCTCCTACTTCTCTTGTGTTGGCATTCAAGTGTTTGAAGAGTTTTTTCTGAAAGTGAAGAAATATCTGATGTCCCCATTTTTGAGGATTCTCCCACACTACAATTATCAAAAGAGTCTCGTCTATATAATCTCTTAATGGCATTTCTAGTCCTTAGATTTGATTCTGGCACAGTTAGACTTGTGAAGGGATATTCTGCACATTTGCTAGTTTTATTTGTTTCCTCACACACATTTGGTAAATCATCAGGAACTTGCAACAAACCTGAAGTTACCGTAGAATCCTGATACGTTGTACTACCGTCATCTTGTTTTTCACAAATCTGAGGTTTTATATTTATGTTTTCTTCAGAACTTGCTTTATAATCATGTGACTGATTTTCAGCTTTTATACATTCCTGTTTCACTACTTTCTCTTCCTGATCTTGAATGTCAACACTTTCATTGTTTTTGTTTTTCCATTTTCCAGATCTCTTCTTCCTAGAACCTTCTTCTTTTGCCTCCGAACTATCAGATTCCGAGTTTTCAATGCTAGAAAGCAAACCCTGAGATGCTCTTCTTGTTTGATACCGTGTTCGGCCTCTGACTAGTTTCTCAGAGGACTTGTCTACAATGTCCTGGGTACTAACTCCCTCAAACTTAATGTTCTCAGGGTCTGGCTTTTTTTTATTTTGCTCAATTTCTGCATTAGCACTGGTTTCCCCAGCAGTCTTCTCATGTAAATTATTTCCTTTTTCAATTAAATTCTCCTGTACAGTTTGTTCAGAAATCAGTTTTTGTTTAGGTAACATATCATCTTTCATATGCAATGGACTCTTCTGAAGAGGTTTTTCTTCTTCTTTACGTCGTTCCTTTTTTTGATGATTATTTTCTTTATCTTGGCTGTCAGTGGTAGACTCTACTATTTCTGAACGTCGCCTTGAAGATCGCCTGAGGGTTTTCTGATTTGCGGTTATCTGAGACTGACTGTCCTCATTTACCATTTGATCTGCTGGTATTACTACTGGGGGTGTATTTTCTTTGGATTCCAAATTAATTTCTACACTTTTCTCCTCTACAGTATTAGTTTCCAATAATACAACACTTTCCATTGTTGCTTTAAGCTTTGTACTGTCATGCTCCATTGTAGATTCAGAAAGATGAACCTGATTATCTGACACACATTCTGTTTGATTAAGCAAACCAGGTGAGTTATTTTCTAAGACTACCATGCCTTCAATAGATTCCTCAATATTTTTCTCCTGTTCAGATCTCATTATGGGCTTAAACCTTTTACTCTCTGTTTGTTCAGCTTTACCAGCTCTCCGGCTTGATCTCTTAGTTCCAGTCACTATTTTTTCAGAATCAGATTTTGAAATAGTCCCTTCTCTTTGCTTTGCTTTTGGTGGAGAATCTGTTTTAATTATGGTTTCCTGGTTACTTTTTACTGTAACAGTTGATGACATATTATTCAAGGGAGATGGGCTAAAAGGTCTATTTTCTGAACCATCAAACTTCTCCAAAGTAATAAAGGTTTGCCTCCGACTTGTAGGGTGTGGGGGAGTTCCAGAAACAGCAGCATTAGAAAACAAACTACTGCTGATAACAGAAGAATTTTCTACACTGGATGCACATTCAATTGATGTTTTCTTTGATGAAATTAAAGCTTTTTTTCTGGCATCATTATTACTGTTCATCATTTCTGGACTGGTTTTGTCCAGAGAACCACACTCATCATTTGAAAGGGGGGTCTTTTCAAGATGTTCATCTGTACCACGGTCTTCCGTGACATCTTGAGGAATGACAATATCACCGTCCATTTGCTCCTCCTGCACAGAAATAGATACAAACATACAGATCAGTAACTGTCTAACAAGTTTGACTTTCTGGGAAAACTTTAGTATAAAACTTCAGTAATCCAAAGATAACCAGTGACATTCAATATATGGCACCTATTCCATAGACAGTGGTAGGTACCTAATAATTTGTGTTCCTAATAGTCAATATTCAAGAAAAGCCAAGTACATTTATTTTACATACACACACACACACACACACACACACACACACACACACACACACAAAAGTATCTGCTGATATTCTGCTAGTATCTGAATGGGAGTTAACAGGAAATCATACAGTAAATCTTAAAATTAATAAAGAGAAGACCTACAGACCTTTCAGCAGTTTAACACTGATGATTCTAAAAAGCCCAAAATATGAAATGCCAAGCATACCGTAATCGTCATCTTAGAATCTTCCTTTGGTTTTCTGGTTGAAGTAGGAATTTCCCTGAAATAAATAATTGTAAGAAATATTGCTTTTATAATTATTTTAAAATGAATAAAACAGATATAAAAAGTTTGATGGCTTCTATACTTACATAGACTCTTCCTGACTATACTGAGTAAATAAGGTGTCTTGGGAAACATCCAGATTATTATACATGGCAGGAATATCACACCTGAAAAAAAAAAAACTGTATATAAGTAACTTCAAAAATCGGATATTCTTGCAATTAGAAATTAAACTTATGGCCAGGCTCATGCCTGTAATTCCAGCACTTTGGAGGTTGATGTAGACAGGCCACTTGAGCTCAGTAGTTCAAGACCAGCATGAGCAACATGGCAAAATCCCATCTCTACAAAAAATAAAAAATTAGCTAGGCTTGGTGATGTCCATCTGTAGTCCCAGCTACTTGGGAGGCTGATGTGGGAGGATCTAACTTTAGCCCAGGAGGCAGAGACTGCAGTCAGCAGAGATCATGCCACTGCACTCCAGCATGGGCAACAGAGCAAGACTATGTCACAAAAAAATAAAACAAAATGTAAAAAGAAATTAAACTTGCAATCCTACTAAGTTGTTATAAAATCATGACCTAAAATGCATATTTCCCAGATATTCCATGAAACTGTCTTCCCCTCCCAACCTACCTCAAAGAAGGAATTCAGTTTGTAAGTATTTGGTACATTACTAGGTAGCTTTATACATTATGAAATGCATTTATGTACAGTGTAACATTTGGCACTAAAATTTAGTACACATAGTATTTTAGTTCTAAACACAAAGTTACAGTTTGTTGTATGAAATCTAGGCCTGAATATCAAATACCGAAACTCAAGATAAAAAGCTTACAAACCGCTTTGTTTTGAGAACTTCTTTCTGATGCTCAGTTAGTATTCTTTCCTTTGCATCTTTTTCTTCTGGAGGTATAAATACAAAGTCAGTAGATTTTTCTTCTTCCAAAAGAATTTCACTCTTTAAAGATGAAGATTCAAGTTTCAGCTGCAGATTTGAAAAAATAAACAAATAAACATTTAGTTTCCAAATTATTTTCCAATATTTCTATTACTCTAATAGTGACACCATTTTTAATAGTGATTATGAAGTTCGTAATACTCATGATCAGTAACAAGTTAGTACAATGTTCCCCACTTTCTTTTTGTCTCTAATAAATGCTGAGAAAAAAAAGTATTAAACCGCTTTGCAAAGTAGCCAAGTCTGTGCTTACCTACAAAATATGGGCAAAAACATTCGTCAGGCCAACACATGGAAATGAACTGATATGGCAGAAGGTGAATACATTTGCAGCTCTCAAGTTGAAACATGACTTAGTCAAGTGAAAGTCACCAATATGCCCTACATACAAGTAACTTTGGTACTACAATGTTATCAATAAATGTTCATTGGAATCATTGCTTTAATTTTATTTATTGTAGCTACAAAAATGGTAGAGTTACTCTTTTAAAAAAAAAAAACAAAAAAAAAAAACACTTCATTTCACCAGGGCTATAGTCTCAAGATTCTAGAATAACCTTTACTGGAGGTCATGGAAAAGAGAACTGATACTTAGGTTCACATTTGAGCTTAACATAGGTGTCTTATCTAGGCATTATTTATTTCTATTCAAAATATTAAGTTCTAAAAAAACAATGCTAAACACAAGTTCTAAAATATTTTCCTCTTGTGCTACATAGTCATTCATAAGTAGTCTCATTCCATCTCAAAGGGGCTTCTGCCTGGAATAACTACATGTGACAGTTGCTAAGCATTACACAGAAACTTACCTTTCCTAACAAGAAATCATCACCCAAGACTTCTAGGTTACCATGCTATCCTAGCAGTCTTTCTAGGCCAAATGCTCTCAATTCCCCTGTAATCCCAACATTATTTAGTCTTTTACAGCTTTTCCATCCAATTTTTAAAGTTGTATCCAAGTTACCAAATACTTTAGCTTAAAAATTTGGTTTTAAGTGTACTTTTAAAAACATACTTTGGCTGCTGGTTTCATATTTTCTTTTTTATTCTTAGCTTGTGCCAAAAATGAATCTCTTCTTCCATTTGATTTTCTCTCCATGCCACTTATCTTCACATTAAATTGCGAATTTTCTGCCTGTTTTATTAAAATTGAAACAATTTCATTAAGTACAAAGGTAGTATTTTGCTTTTCCTTTTCACATTTTTGAAAATTCCAGTCTGATAGTAATTGCAAATATTGTCAAAGTTTTTCTAATTATTCAAGCCTATAAAAATCAAAGAAAGAAAAGCCACTGTCTAATTCAATAGCAAATGGCTTTGGTATCTCTTTTATAGGACCTGTTTAATATTTATAACTTTATGAATTCTGAAAATAAGACATGTCACAAAAATACACAAAGTGCATTAAATTACCAGATTCAAACACCCTACCTGTAACTGAAAATATTTCTAAGAGAAAATTCAAAGCCATAGAACTTTAAACACTGAACAACAGAGGGTTAATAAAGCATGTATGATAGAGCATGTCCGCCCTCAACAGAATATACAGCTTTTACAGACCAAAGTCCAGTGAACAACTCTTTAACAATCCTAATTATTAGTTATCTGGCGAAAAATTTTTACTTCAGTCAAAACCAAATGCAGTACTTAGCTGGTTATAACATTCTTTTTTCCTCTTACAGATTCTAAACAAAAAATAGCTATACCCTATCTGCTCTGAACAGAAAAAACTTTTCTAAGAACACTCCACCTCATAGGTATATAATACCCGTGACTGTAACTCGTAGATCTTCAGGCAGTAATCAAATATTATTAGCCAAAGAAACTTTGCTCCTAATGTGATGTGACAGCAAAAATGTTTTTTTCTGGCAGAAGAAATGATAAAATCAACTTTTTTAAAATGAGAAAATGAATAGCTTTTGCTTAAACATGAATTAGTAACCATTACTTCCAGTTTTTCCAGAGCAACAATTAACTTTTTTTTATTCTTTGTGAAGAGCACAGATGAGGTATCTCAGTTCAAAACGGGTGATTCATGACAAGAATTAGAGATTATTTACCTGAGGCTCTCTAGTAAAAATTTTATGCCATAATTCACATAAGTAATTTTAGGCCAGACAACTGACAACATGGAAAAAGCCTGTTACAGAACTCTTTTCTGTTCAGTTCTATAACATATGTCAACAAATAAACAATTTAAACATCTAAAAACAAATGAACGATAAAATCCCCCAACTTACTCCATCAGAATATGGTCCACTGGATTCCTCCTCCATCATTTCAACAGTTTCCAAACCAGGCAATAGGAGCAGAAATTTTTGTTTGGCTTGTCTTAATACTGGCCTTTTAAAAAGTACATAAAATATACACCTTAAGTCAAGTAGTACTAGTGAACTGATGATCCATTCACAACAACAGCACTTTAAATTTTTAGAACAGCTGAACAGATTTTTATTTTTAAATCAAGACTGTTCCTTACTATGCATATATAAAACCGGGAAGACATAGGCCGGGTGCCGTGGCACAAGCCTGTAATCCCAGCACTTTGGAAGGCCTAGGAGGGGGTATCATGAGGTCAGGAGTTTGAGACCAGCCTGGCCAAGATAGTGAAACCTGTCTCTACATACAAAAAATTATTTTGGTGTAGTGGTGGGCACCTGTAATCCCAGCTACTCAGGAGGCTGAGGCAGGAAAATCACGTGAACCCGAGAGGCAGAGGCTGCAGTAAGCAGAGATAGCACCATTGCACTCCAGCCCTGGCGACAGAGTAAGACTCCATCTCAAAAAAAAAAAAAAATAATAGAAAAATAACTGGGATAAATTAGACAATTTTTGTATTTTTCCCTATACTTTTCTGAATTTCCAAATTTGTATCATGGAAAATTCCAAAGAGAAGTAGATTATATAAAGCATTCATGTCTACCTTTAATAATCATCCATTTCCTATCCTCCTTGTCTCTTTTATTAAGGATAATTTAAACTGCTTTTCTTTGTTCCTGAAATCAAGGTTATTCTAAGGACAAACGAAATGGTGAAATGTTTAATAATTACCATGTATTCCAAATGGTAATATTTCAACTAAGGAATCCTCTGTAACGATTCCTCATAAGAAAAGATTATTTTACACCAAAATATTAATTTACATGATCACAACAGTATAATTAGTTATATAGAAGTTTTGTTGTTAACATACTTCAACTCTTCAGGATAAACCAACATTGTCACTTTAGCAAATGTAGCATTCCAGAACTGAGCACTCTGTTTTCGAATCTGTTTATTCTTGTGCAGAAATATTATGCATAATAGTGGGGAGAGATGTTCAAGAAGTTCACTGTCATAAGTTCCAGTGTAGCTGAATTGTAGACAAGCAATAATTTCTCCCAGTAGCTTTTCTAACTAGGAAAAAGGAAAAAATAAAAGCAAAAAATATACTAAATATTAACTCATACAATATGTTGCTACTGCAATTTTTAAACTTTAGACAAATTTTAAACTAACCCCCATTGTTGTCTTAAACATATATCCCTCTTTACAACCTGACAAATTATCAGTTGAATTTGCTTTGGTTGTTGATATATTACAGTTCAATTTTGAACTTTTTATTAACAACAGAAATTATGTTTTTATAATAACAAGATAAATAATTACCTACATAAGTTCACCTAAAAAACTTTGGGTTCAATAGCCATCATATATAAAGTAAGGAATGAGATAAGAGTTGATTAACTAGGCTGGGCTTGGTGGTTTATGCCTGTAATCCCAGCACTTTGGGATTACAAAGGATTACTTTTGGGAGGCCAAAGCAGGAAAATTGCTTGAGCTCAGGAGTTTGAGACCAATGTTGGCAACATGGCAAAACCCCACCTCTATAAAAAATACAAAAATGAACCAGGCATGGTGGCATGTGCCTGTAGTCCTAGCTACTTGTGAGGCTGAGAGAATCACCCGAGCCCAGGAGGACAAGGGTATGGCGAGCCGCGATCACGTCGCTGCACTCCCACTTGGGTAAGACTTTGTCTCCCAAAAAAGTTCATTACTTAACATAAATTTAAAGTATTAAATCCTTTAAAAAAACAAAAAAAACTACCTGTAAATGTCTTTATATGATGTTATTAAATGCCCATTAAAAATGAAGAATGGGCCCAGGCATGGTGGCTCACACTTGTAATCACAGAACATTGGGAAGCTGAGGCGGACAGATCACTTGAGGTCCGGCATTTGAGACCAGCCTGCCCAACATGGTGAAAGCCCGTCTCTACTAAAAATACAAAAAAATCAGTATACCCATCATCCCAGCTACTCAGGAGACTAGGGTGGGACAATCACTTGAACCTGGGAGGTGGAGGTTGCAGTTGAGCCGAGATGGTGCCACTGCACTCCAGCCTGGGCAACAAAAGTGAAACTCTATCTCCAAAAAATAAAAAAAATGAAGAATAACCCCTTTAAAAATCAGCAGAATTATGTTTAAGAAAATTATCTAAACCTATCATTTTCTCATCATGAAAGTATGTTTTATGGACAATTGTCTATTTTTACCTTGTTGTTCAGACAACTATATACTTTAGGAACTTCATCAAGCCTAGGAAGGAAAACACATAAAATAGAATACCATTTATATTTCTGGAAGTTAACACTGTACTATCTATCATGCTACTCCTAAGAAAGAGGTAATAAAGACATAGTAATAAATTGAGTAATATAAAAAGAAAGCCCGAAGATTTAACAAGTTAAAAAAATCAAATGCTAAATATTAAGCATAAAACAATCCAATCTTTGACAAATGGATCATAGAAAATATCTACAATAAATCTCAAAGTAATAATCGTACTAATTGCTTATTTCTTTACTTTTCCCTTAAACATTTTTAATGAAATATAGACTTAAAGATTTGCAAAGAAAAGTTCATGGATTTGGGGGTTGTATTTGTACTTTATAAAATCTGTTCCTAAAACTTTTTCTGTGAATGTAATTTATGAAAGACAAGTTGTATTATGACTGAACCACTCAAGCATGCTATAAAGAATATTGATGAATCCTTTCAAAAGGCTTGTTCAAGTTTATTACAGGGTTGGTTTTTCTCCCCACCCCCCAGCTACCCTCTAGGTTTTAAGGCACTGCTTGCTTCAATTCAAATAAAGGGTAATGCAAAATTAACTCAACTCTTTTGGAGAACAATTCAGAAACATAAATGTCCATACACTTCAAACCAACATTTTTACTTAAGTAATCTTCTACAGAAACAATGGCAAATGTGGGCAATGATTTGTGTGCAAATAATGTTCAACTACTCTGAGAAAAAACACTAGAAAAACATTTATGTCCACCAATCAGAAATTGGGTAAAAACTTTAACAGAATCACATGTAGACATTTTTTAAAAACGAGATTTTCATGTATTCAGTACAAAGACAGCCATCCCGCAGTATCCATGGGGGACTAGCCAGGCGTGATGGTGGCTAATTCCAGGATTACCATCCTGCCAGGATACCAAAATCCATAGATGCTCAACACTCCAATTAAAACAAGCTGTATCCGCATGTAACCTAAACACATCTTTCCATATGCTTTAAATAATCTCTAGATTACTTATATTAGCAAATACAATGTAAATACCTGTCGTATTTACTTGTATTATTTTTATTCTTTTTAATTTTTCCAAGTATTTTCTATCCAGGGTTGGTTGAATCCATGAATGCAGGATCCATGGATACAAACAGCCAACGGTATTAAGTGCATACCATTTAACTGACTGCAAAACAGCATGTCAAGTAGGCTTTCATATCTATTGTGTACTTAATAAGTATGCTTATTTGTATAAACAATTCTGAAGAGATAGAGCACTGAAAAGAAAAGAGAAAGGAAAGTAACAGGCAAAATAGAAAGAATTCCAATTTCTCTCTCATATTTCCATACTACTTGAACTATCTTTTCAAGAAAAGTGTAGTTTATTACCCTCTCCACAAAGTTGTCAAGACTACCATCTACAACAACATAGCTGATTAAAAAACAGAAGTTGCTACCTATATTTAAATTGTATACATTTAATTCAAAGCTACTTAGCCCAAAGTACTTACTTTGAGTTTTCATAAAATACTGCCAGAGGTCTTGTGAAACTTGCAAATATTTTTCGGATCATAGAAGGCAAAGAAATATGTCCAAGTACACTGGAAATAATGCTGGTGATTGAGTTGCCAATAGTGAAGAGGGTATCGGAATGTGCTTCCTTGAAGCTCAGAGTGTGGAAAGAACAGATCACTTTCACAATAAGTTTAAATAAAGAAGTCAATTTCCCTAGGGGCTCATTCTTCTTTTTGGACCAATCTGAAGGTTTCTGTGGTGCTAAAATAAAATTGAGTTAAAAACACAAATAAATTGAAAATAGCATCGCTGCCACTTTTACAATTTATAGGTCACATTTAAATGTTAGATACATCAAACACATATCCATTTGCTGACTGACACCCCAAGCAAATCATAACATAAGGTACCATTAATGGATAAATATTACTAGAACATTATCTTTACAAATGAGAATGGGAGATGAAAACTACTTAGCAGATCATGAATAAGAATTCGAGAAAAACAAGTCTATTTTTTCTTAGAAATTATAAAATGAATTTCAAACTTTTACATTTCTTAAAATGTCAACAACTAATATGTAGGAAAGTGCTAAATTACACAAGATAGGGTCCAAATTTAAATTTTAATAGTTTCAAAAACAAAAAATTTCCTCTAATAATGACCATTTCCTTGCTCATCTATAGTACACTGATCCCTACAAATAACATTGAACAAGAGATGCAAATCTAAGAATGCAGAAAGTCTACTGCCTATTTCCTAGACTTAAAGAAAAAGATTTGTCCCTAAAGTACTTTTGTACCCTCCTTAATCCCTCTGTAAACATCTACCTACAAGTATAAACCCACATTGCTCTTGCCCAAAAAATACCCATTCCAAAATACCTGTTTATCTTCAACCAATCCATTATTTTAAGGAATGAGATCTCAAATTTAACAGAAAACTAATGTTTAATTAAAAATTAATCTCATATGTAAAATGAAAAACAAGTGTTGCTACTAAATAAAAGGAAGCTGACTTTTCTTTTAGTAATTTCTTTTAGAAATTGGAAACAATTTCTCAGACATTAATGTACACTGAAAAACAGTATCCGGAAACTCCCTGACAGAATGTTGAGGTGAGGTAACAACCATATGCCAGGAAAATGGTTACACACCAGTGACTGATCAAGTTGTAAATATATTGAGGGTCATGAAAACCAGTTTTCTCACTATCAGAGACAGTAGAGACAAATACAGAAAGAGGAATTATTAGCATGATCCATATGATATTAGATGGTAAATGAATGTATAACTAGTGTGCCACAAAACATTAATTTTAAATATTTAGTTACTAACCTTACAGTGGAAAAATTGGCAGATGCCATCCTCAAACAGAAAATGTTAACATCACCAGTAATGGGAAAATAATGAATTGAAAAAGAACTACAGCATTATTTCTGTGGTACTCATGTAAAGAAATGAATGGAACCTGAATCTAATCTTGAGGAAGTATGATAATGCCAGATTGAGAGACTCTAAGAAAGTAAAGTTGCTTGCTTGCTTTTTCCTTTTTTTTTTTTTTTTTTTTTTTTTTTTTTTTTGCGACTGAGTCTAGCTCTGTAGCGCAGGCTGGAGTGTGGCATGATCTTAGCTCACTGCAATATCTGCCTCCTGGATTCAGGCAATTCTCCCGCCTTGGCCTCCCAAGTTGCTGATACTACAGGTGCGAGCCACCATGCCTAGCTAATTTTTCTATTTTTAGTAGAGACAGATTGTCACCCAGTTGGCCAAGCTGGTCTCGAACTTCTGACCACAGGTGATCTGCCCACCTCGGCCTCCCAAAGTCCTGGGATTACAGGTGTGAGCCACTGCACCTTGCCAAAAGTTTTTTTTTGTTTGTTTTTGTTTTTTTTTTTTTTTGAGACAGAGTTTCGCTCTTGTTACCCAGGCTGGGGTGCAATGGCGCGATCTCGGCTCACCGCAACCTCCGCCTCCTGGGTTCAGGCAATTCTCCTGCCTCAGCCTCCCTAGTAGCTGGGATTACAGGCACGCGCCACCATGCCCAGCTAATTTTTTGTATTTTTAGTAGAGACGGGGTTTCACCACGTTGACCAGGATGGTCTCGATCTCTCGACCTCGTGATCCACCTGCCTCGGCCTCCCAAAGTGCTGGGATTACAGGCTTGAGCCACCACGCCCGGCCTAAAGTTTTTTTTTGAAGGACACAAAAGACAAGACTGAGGAACCATTCCAGGTTGTCAACCTGTCTAAAACTATACCTTCAAATGGTTCAGAGGAAAAAAAAGAATCAAATGCATATGCTGGGCGTTGGGGAGAGAAGATATGATGAATGCAAAACTGTTAATTAACAAGCCTGAGAAAAGGAATACAAAGTTTCCACGGAAACTAATATAAGTCACCAAAAATCCCAAGGTGAGCCTAATGTACAACTCTGAATAATAATTTCCTTTCAACTAGTCTTAATATAGTTTCCTCTCAACTCCTTTTAGAAATCTCCCCATTACCCAAATTTTACAGCAAGTGGAACTCTGGCTCTGTTTTGCATGGATGTGAAGTGAAAAAGACATTTGTAACTGGGAGTTTATAGTTCCTAAACTGAATATTCAGTTAAATCTAATTTGAGAAGTATAAGCATAGGTAAAATTATGTCAACATGAGACTCATCATCTTGGCTCCATGAAACTTCAGTGGGTTATAAAATAATTTGTAATCATCTGTTGTACAATCTTGGTATACTTATGGTTTTCAAAGGTAAACCTATTTTTCTGACACACTGAAGTAATCAGATTAGGTCTTGGTCAGCCCAAGAGGAGAGCTACGATCAGTATTTCAAGAACATCTATAACCTGTTTCTAAGGCATGCAGGCTGGGATGTTCTGACCTATAACATACTTCAGGAGCTTAACATGTTACTGAGAATAACATGTTGCTGGCCGGGCGCGGTGGCTCACGCCTATAATCCCAGCACTTTGGGAGGCCAAGGCGGGTGGATCACGAGGTCAAGAGATCAAGACCATTCTGGTCAACGAGGTGAAACCCTGTCTCTACTAAAAATACAAAAATTAGCTGGGCATGGTGGTGCGCGCCTGTAGTCCCAGCTACTCAGGAGGCTGAGGCAGGAGAATTGCTTGAACCCAGAAGGCGGAGGTTGCAGTGAGCTGAGATCGTGCCATTGCACTCCAGTCTGGGTAACAACAGCGAAAACTCAGTCTCAAAAAAAAAAAAAAAAAAGAATAACATGTTGCTACTTAGTAAAAATTCAAAATCCAAAAAAGATTCTAAGAATGTTTTAGAAAACTCATCAATAGCATTGTCTTATTGGAACATAATTTTATATATTCCTAATCTTTAAACAGGAAGAAATATTATCTCAACATCAACTAATATTTTTAATTAATGGCAGACTATCACTACCTATATGGTATGAACATATAAACATAGGTGGATACATTTTACTTCAATGAATCAATTAGATTTTAAAAACTATTTCCTACAAAACAACTTAAAAATAACAAAGGCATACAACTTATTATGATTCAAATTGTCTAATTTAAACCATTTAATTACCATTTTTAGGTAAACACTTTAAATTTTTCTACAATTTTAAATTTCTGAAAAAATAACAATTGATCCCATTATTTTCTTTTAAATTATAATGTCAATTCAATGATTATTTTAAATCAGGCTTGCAAATAAAAACATTTCAAGTTATGCCCAAGTTTCTTGTCCAGATAATCCTTTATACCAGATGGAATAAGTAAAATCATTTGTACTATTAGGCAATCTCTAATTCGAATATTTATCTTTCTGTGTTATAAAAAGGCATAAAGACATTTTATATGTGAAAGAGGTAAGTGAATGATCCAGAGCACATGAAAATTAAAAAGAAAAGATAGAGTGAAAGAGAGTATGTATGAAAGCTCCTAGCATAGTAACTAACATGGCTAAACAAGATGAAAAGGTAGTAAAATGAGGTAGCAAAACTATTAGGACTTCCCCTGGCAAAGTTCAGTACTACATATGAAATACTGGATAAACAAAGGTTAAAAAATATATACTTACATTTAACTTTGGGCTGATATTTATTATTATATGGTGAGAAATCAATGCAATCAACCATTACAGTAATAACATGAATAATCCTATCCACGAACAACAGATTCTAAGGAAGAGAGTATTACAGTTAGAAACATTCAAGTACTGTGACAGTATTCAACAACAGTAAGTAACATGAAAAAATATAAGACTGTTACTCCCACGTAACCTACGTAACATACAGGTCACAGTTTACAGTACATTTAAGTGCAGCTACCCATGGCTTAGCAGAGATCCTTTCTTAAAAATAGGTCATTAGGCAATTTCACCTTGTGGGAACAACACAGTGTACTCACACAAACCTAGATGATACAGCCTATATAGTCTGTTGCTCCTAGGCTATAAACCACTAGCCTACACACCCATATAGATATGTAGTTACTACACTGAATACTACAGGCAACTGTAACACAATGGTATGCATTTGTGTATCTAAGAATAGAAAAGACACAGTAAAAATACCATATTATAACATTCTGCAACCACCCTGAGATACATATTACCAGATCTGTGGTGTGTTGTTGACTGACACATTGTTATGAGGCACATAACCACATACGATTGCAAGTATTTTTCACTTAACTACTGTGACTCAAACACTGTATTTTATCTTCCTCAACATTTAAGAAAAATAATTCACCTTTAAGATGCCCATTAAAAACCATCATATCAACCAATAAACTGTGATTAGAAACACTAGGATCATAGATTCTCTAACAAATTCCTTTTAAAAATTATAAAGTAAATTGCTCAGTGAGTTGGCAAATAAAAAAAGAGAAAAAAATTATGAAGTACAAATGTTCACTAAACCAATGGAAACAAAACATAAAAACAAATTGCTGGCCAGGCACCGTGGCTGATGTCTGTATCCCAGCACTTCAGGAGGCTGAAGCGAGTGAATCACCTGAGATCAGGAGTTCGAGAACAGCCTGTTTAACATGGTAAAACCCTGTCTCTACTAAAAATACAAAAATTAGCAGGGCATGATGGTGCACGCCTGTAATCCCAGCTACTCAGGAGGCTGAGGCATGAGAATCACTTGAACACAAGAGGAGGTTCCAGCGAGCCGAGATCGTGCTACTGCACTCCAGCCTGGGTGACAGTGAGACTCCATCTCAAAAAAAAAAAAAAAAAAAACCAATTTGCTAAGTTTTTTCATATCCTTTCCTCTTCCTTTCCCAATCCAACAGCAATAAAAATTAATTCACAAACACATCAAAAACTACTTGGAGATTTAAAACAGGTGGGAGGAGGGTGAGAAACTAAACACAGAAAAAGGGAATTCCAGACCACAGAACACCTAAAAAATAAGCTTTGCTAGAATAATCTCTGAATAACAGAAGACACAGTGAAGGTTTTACAAAAGTAGTGTGTTTAATAAAAGGCAAATGATTAATTTACAAATTGCTGAAATTAGAGATCTACACACTGGTCAGTGTTTCTTCTCCTTTTATTCTGTATTACTTGCTATTTGTCCACTTCGCTGGACTAGTTCACATATCTGATCCAAAAATAGTGTCCACAACAGGATGTTAAGGGCAAGAGAACGAAAGCAGTGTCCAGTCAATCTATGAAAACCATGTGGAAGGTCAGTTTAGATGACAAACTACATGTTCACATAAAAAGATGTTAAGTTTGAGGTGATTCCTCTCCGCTCACAATGACAAAGTAAAGGATATCTGTAACTACAATTTGTCATAAAAGCCAGAAAAATGGGATCGCTCCTGAAATAGATTTCAGCTACCCAACAGTTCATTATTAACCTTTATTGATAAATAAACATAATCATGAGGAGAACCAGCACCAAGAAGGTGCTGTGTAAATATCCAATAAATTAATTCATAAGGAAAGAGCCAATATCACAAACAGAAGAAAAAATATTCCCAGAAGTAAAAGGGAAATCTATTTAAAATATTAAATGTAAAATCAAAAACATGGCCAGGCATGCTTGTTCATGTCTGTAATCCCAGCTCTTTGGGAGGTCAAGGTGAGTGAATCACCTGAGGTGAGGAGTTTAAGACCAGCCTGACCAACATGGTGAAGCCATCTCCACTAAAAATACAAAAATAGCCCAGTGTAATGGTGTGCGCCTATATTCTCAGCTACTTGGCAGGCTTAGGCAGGAGAACTGCTTGAACCCAGGAGGTGGAGGTTGCAGTGAGCTGAGATCATGCCACTGCACTCCAGTCTGCAACAGAGGTTCCATCTCAAAAAAATAAAAATATTGCTCAGGAAGGTGTCTGAAAGACACAGATGACACAAACTTTCAAAAAGTTATGAGTATAATAAATTTCAAGCTGGCAGAATTTAAGAAAAAGGCAGTAACAAGGAACACGTTACCATGAAGACATTAATAGTCATTAATCTCTAATGTGTAATAATATAGCATCAAAATATTTAATCAACATGGTAATATGCAGCAAATTCATAATCGGGGGATAATCACAAGTATCTTATAAATAAACAATTATAAAACTACACTATCACAGAGTTACAACATAAGATGAATTCTAAAATCAGAAGTCATAGGGCCAGACACGGTGGCTCACACCTGTAATCCCAGCACTTTGGGAGGCCAGGCGGGTAGATCACAAGGTCAGAAGTTCCATACCAGCCTGGCCAATATGGTGAAACACTGTCTCTACTAAAAATACAAAAATTAGCTGGGCATGGTGGCGGGCACCTGTTGTCCCAGCTACTCGGGAGGCTGAAGCAGGAGAATCGCTTGAACCCAGGAGGTGGAGGTTGCAGTGAGCTGAGATCATGCCACTGCACTCCAGCCTGGACAAAAGAGCAAGACTCCACCTCAAAACAAGACAAAACCCAAGAAGTCATAGATGATCCTCTCTGATCACAATACAGTAAAATAAAAAACGATAAAATTGCCACACACATCCATAAAAAATTCTCTTAAATTACAAAGCACCCTTCCAAGTTCCCTAGTGCTATTTAAAAAGGCATCAAAGTAGTCTATATAGTCACTGATGGCAGTAATAAGTGTTAGATGCACAGGTTTGAAAAAAGTTAAGCGTTAAAACAAAACCATTCAATGTATGTAACGACAAAGAAAAGTAAAAAGCTGTAATAATGATCAATAAAATAAAACTACACGCTGTTTTCCTTGGTAGACTTAGATAAGCCTTTGATTACCAAATACAACCAAGAAAAGACAAAACTTCAGAGCAAAAAGGTTGGTGGGCTTGGCATCAAGTAGTCCAACCCACTTGGGAGGTTGAGGCTGGATGACAGCTTGAACCCAGGAGTTGGAGGCTTTAGTGTGCGTGGCATCTGTGAACAGCCACTGCATTCCAGCTTGGGTAACACAGCAAGACCTCATCATCAAGAAAGAAAACAAAGAAAAGAAGGAAAAGGAAGAAAAGAAGGAAAAGAAGAGGGGAAGGGAGAAAAAGAAAGAAAGAACAATACAACTATAGACATGGCATTCCTCTTACACTATTTAAATTGGTGGAGAATAGTTTTCTAAATCATTCTAAGATGTTACTATTACTATAATACTTTGAACAATGAGAACTCTAGTATCACTTATGAAGATACATGTAGAAAAAAACATGAATCCTATAATTTAAAAGAATAGCATTTTAGGCCAGGCACGGTGGCTCAAGCCAGTAATTCCAGCACTTTGGGAGGCCAAGGTGGGTGGATGACGAGGTCAAGAGATCGAGACCATCCTGGTCAACGTACTGAAACCCCGTCTCTACTAAAAAAAAAAAAAAAAATTAGCTGGGCATGGTGGCACATGCCTGTAATCCCAGCTACTCAGGAGGCTGAGGCGGGAGAATTGCTTGAACCCAGGAGGGAGAGGTTGCGGTGAGCCAAGATCGTGCCATTGCACTCCAGCCTGGGTAACAAGAGCGAAACTCCATCTCAGCACTTTAACCAGAAGTGTATCCCCAAAATGCAAGATTCAACATAAGGAAATACGTAAGTAACAACTTTTATGTGTACTTCAGCAACAATCAAGTACGAAGGAAGGAGAGACCCATTTATAATAGATCAAAAAACAGCTTAAAAACAATAATCAAGTTAGGTTAACTTTAGAAGACCTAAATAAACACAAATCCCTGGAAAGAACAATTTGATGAGAAAGATGCAAACTATTTTCCTAATTAACCTGTGAATTCAATGTTACCAAAGTCAAGCAAAATCTCAACAGGGTATTTTGTGAAATATGATAGACACTAAGTCTCTTCTGGAAAGGAACAAAGGCTGACACAGCCTAACTAATATAACATGATAGCCGAGGGTCAACATTCTCCCTATCAGTTATAAAAAATGCACATTATTAATTCAGTAGACAGATCTCAGAGATAATCATCATCATAACAGACAATGTCCCTAACTCATGGAGTATGGGAGAAGTAACGAAATGAAGTGCAGAAATATACAATTTCGAGACAGTGCTGAAAAGGAAATAAGATGCTCTAACAAAAATAAACAAGCTCCATTAGGTAAGTCCCTTGAAGAAAGAAGCAGAAACCTCACGGGTAGTGTTAGGTGCTCCGAATTTTATTACAAATCTAACAAAAAGCTACAGTAGTCTTTCAAGAGATTTACATTTGTAAAGTCACTCTGACAAATACAATTAGAACTGTGCTAATGGCAAGTAGAGGGTATGTATATAGATACATTTAAAACACTAAACATCTAACTATGGGTAGTGATTATTACTGATGAGAAGACGTCTGTGAAGGGGAATTGGCTTTGGTGTTTGTAATCTTTTACAATAAGAACTGATGTGGCCAGGTGTGGTGGCTCATGCCTGTAATCCGACCACTTCGGGAGGCCAAGGTGGGCAGATCACCTGAGGTCAGGAGATCGAAACCAGCCTAGCCAACATGGTGAAACCCTGTTCTCTACTAAAAATACAAAAATTAGCTAGACGTGGTGGCACCTACCTATATTCCCAGCTAATCGGGAGGAGAACTGCTTGAACCCAGGAGGCGGAGGTTGCAGTAAGCCCAGACAGTGCCACTGCACTCCAGCCTGGGTGACAATATGAGACTGTCTCAAAAAAAAAAAAAAAAAACAACTATTTTTACTTTTTTATTCCTCATTAAAATGTGTGTCAGATGTAAGATGTAGAGAAAACACACACAACAAATACCGTTTCAATAATTTGCAAGGAAAAACAATGGTTTCTGTATGAAGACCATTACCAGGATTACACACAGGAACAAATAGTTGAAACAACAAAATGTCCTTAAAATACTAAAATTCCAAGTAATGGTACAACCATACTACAGAATACTGGACAGCAGTTGAAACAAATAATAGAGATATATGGATTGACTTGAAAAGGAGTTAAGATGGTGTTTTATGAAAAGTTACACAATTACTTAGGAACAAATGCAATAAGGATTTCATTGGTAAGAACACTGTATTCATATGCATATGCAAGTATCAATATGCAAATGGCTGTGTAAATACAAAGAAAGAGGTCTATTCTGGAATGGTATGTATCAATCTGTTGGCAACAGCTGTCCTTTCCAGGAAGAGGGAAGGAAAGAGAAAAGAGACTTAAATTTTCTAAGACTACAAACTTTCAAAGAAATTGAATTTAAAAATCTAACACATACATATAAGAAAGTGAGGTCCAGGACAGCAAGGTCTTTGATTTATTAATCCAGAATGACACAAGCACAAGGAGGTATACAGTACAGTATAGTAAAACATATTCACTGTTCATGATACTAAAATGTGGACCTTAGAGCCCAAAGATACAAAACTGTTTCACAAAGTATACTTGTTTTCAATATCAACTTTCTTACTTATAAATAGAAGCAGAAGTGATAGTTCACAAATGTCATCTCAATTTACTTGAAAAGAATAGTTCAAAAACAAACAAAAAAAGGTAGTATCAAACTCACTGAAAAGTCTTCATCTTTCAAACTAGACATCATCTTGGAAGAAAGTTCCTCACAGCACAAGTTCTCTTCTGCTGTTGCCACCAAAGCAGCACAGCGAGCAAATGTTGTATATAATTCTGACCAAGTTCTAAGCAAAGTCTTCATGGTAGCCTACCAATAACAATTAAAAAGAAGTTTCATTAATATATATTTATGTATCAAATAGCTTACAGAATCAATAAATGTTTAATGTGTCATCAGACAGACTAATGGCCGGGCACAATGGCTCACACCTATAATCCCATTACTTCCTTCAGGAGGCCATGGTGGGTAGATCACCTGAGGTCAGGAGTTCAAGAGGAGCCTGGCCAACAAGGGGAAACACTATCTCTACTAAAAATACAAAAAATTAGCCAGGCAAAGTGGCAAATTCCTGTAATCTCAGCTACTCAGGAGGCTAGGATAGGAGAATTGCTTGAATCCAGGAGGTGGAGGTTGCAACGAGCCGAGATCGAATCATTGCACTCCAGCTTGGGCAACAAGAGAGAAAAACTCCAAAGAGGCTAACACAGAGTAGGCTAACACCTTTCCCCCACAGCCCAGAGATCTAATTGAAGAGAGGAAGTAAGTTATGATACAAAAAATGATCAAAAATCCAAAACAAGTTCTCTCTTCCTTCATCATTTTCCTTTCTCCTAAGCTAATAATAAAGTCATAAAGAAGTGTTATTTCAGAAATTATTGTGGGCTGGGAATGGTGGCTCACACCTGTAATCCCAGAACTTTGGGAGGCTGAGGTTGGTGGATCACCTGAGGTCAGGAGTTTGAAACAAGCCTGACCAGTATGATGAAACTCTATCTCTACTAAAAATACAACAATTAGCCAGATGCAGTGGCATATGCCTGTAGTCCCAGCTACTCAGGAGGCTGAGACAGGAGAACTGACTGAACCCAGGAAGTGGGGGTTTCAGTGAGCCGATTTTGCACCACTGCACTCCAGCCTGGATAAAAGGAAGGCTCCATCTCAAAAAAAAAAAAAGAAAAGAAATCATTGTGGAAGCTTACAGAGATAAATACTTGAAAATGCCTTACCACTGGAAATCTTTGTTCTGAAAAAATATGGTTTACTGGTAAAGTCAATGCACCATAGATGGCACTAAAATTATGTTCTAAGGCATCACCTTGATTTACTTCATTAGTCTAAAACAAGAAAAATAATGAAGTTAGACAAATTACCATCTTATTCTAATCCTAAATAGTAACATAACTTAGAAGTAGTGGGCAAAACTGTCTCCCCCAATACTGAGAATCAAAATACATTTAACTACTAACCCCTGGAACCTATGAATGTAGTCTTATTTGGAAATACAGTTTTTGCAGATGAGGTCCTATTGGATTAGGGTTGGCCCCAATCCAATGAACGGAGTCTTTTCTGTAAAAAGAAAATGTGAAGATGGAGGCGGACTCAAGCGATGCAGTCACCAGCCAAGGAAGGTCAAGGATTGCCAGCAACCACCAGAAGCTGAGAGGCATGAACAAATTCTGACTCAGAGCTCCAGAAGAAACCAATCCTACCAACTCCTTACTTTTGGATAGCTGGTATCCAGAACTATGAGAAAATAAATCCCTGTTGTTTTCAGTTACCAGCTGGCTGTAATTTGTTAATGGCAACCTGGAGGAATTATGCACTACGTTTAAGTTCTAAAAAAGAAACCAAGAGGCAACTCAACTATAGTAGTAGTGTTCTACTATACAAAACACAGCATTTAAACAAGAACTAATACCATAAAAAGGGCGTCTGTGATCCTTCTAACAGTAGAAAGCTATTTAAGAATGTAAATGACTGCCAAGCTCAGAGGCTCATTCCTGTAATCCCAGCTCTTTGGGAGGCCAAGGTGGGGGGATCGCGAGGTCAAGAGATGGAGACCATTCTGGCCAACATGATGAAACCCTGTCTCTTAATAAAAATACAAAAAGTAGCTGGGTGTGGTGGTACATGCCTGTAATCCCAGCTACCTGAGCTACCTGGGAGGCTGAAGAACTGCTTGAACCTGAGAGGTGGAGGTTGCAGTGAACCAAGATCGTGCTATTGTACTCCAGCCTGGGAAACAGAGCTAGACTCAGTCTCAAAAAAAAAAAAAAAAAAAAAAAAAAACAGAAGAATGTAAATATGTAAATGACTTTTCTGGCTGGGTGCTGTGGCTCACGCCTATAATCCCAGCACTCTGGGAGCCCAATGAGGGTGGATCGCCTGAGGTGAAGAGTTTCAGACCAGTCTAACCAACATGGTAAAACCCCATTTCTACTAAAATACAAAAAATTAGCGAGGCATGGTGGCAGCTGCCTGTAATCCCAGCTAGTCAGCAGACTAACGCAGGAGAATCGCCTCAACCCAGGAGGCAGAGATTGCAGTGAGCCTCAGTGGCAAGAGCAAACTCCATCTCAAAAAAAAAAAAAAAAGAAAAATGTAAATGACTTTTCTTCCAGAAGAATAATGTGCTGGCTTGTACAGCCAAAACAAGGGCTACAGAACTATAACATAAAAAAAATTCAGCTGGGCACGGTGGCTGATGCCTGTAATCCCAGCACCTTGGGAGATTGAGGCTGAGGTCAGGCGTTTGAGATCAGCCTGACCAATATGGTGAACTCCCATCTCTACTAAAAATACAAAAAATTAACCAGGCATAGTGGCATGCGTCTGCAGTCCCAGCTACTCAGGAGGCTGAAACAGGAGAATTGCTTGAACCCATGAGGTGAGGTCTAGCCTAGATGACAGAGTGAAACTCGTCAAAAAAAAAAAAAGAAAAAGAAAAAAAAATCCTTGGAGTTTTTTCATTTTTGAGTTACAGCACTACCAGCCCAGCAAATGCATATTCCATTTAAAGATGGACAAAGAGGCTGACAAATCATGAACAGAACTTATGCTCCATAGTCTGGCCATATTCCCACTTTTATTAAGTATTTAAACATACAGATTATTCAACTTTCGATAGATTCCTAACTTAGGGGAATGCCATATGGCTCTGAGGTAATCACTAATGTGGCTTACCTATGGGAATATATGGTCTAGTCAAGATTACCTGTCATTCTCTGTTAATATAACTACTGAAAGAACCCAATATATGAGAATTTACATCTACGTGATCCTTCTAGATAATCACTATTGAAGAAAATGAAGCCATGACTAGTCCCCATTAAGTTAGTTTCTTTACTAATGAGGCAGAAATGCAATAAAATCAATCAAAAGTACAGTTTGCCAATTCCACAAGAAAAAATATTTACTGTCTTCTATTCAAATTCAAACTTCTATTCATTTCCCCAATTGCGCTTAACAACAAAAAAAATAATATCTAAAGTATGTAGCAGAATTATTTCATACCTGATTAATCAATTCAGTTAATGGGGTGACTATAACACTCCACATTCTCCAGAGATGCTCCTTATTTTCCAATTGCTTTGCATTTTGATTGATAACATTTAAAACAGAGTCACTGAAAGCTAGTGGTGATGTTGGACCAGAAAGAACACAGCCTACAAGTGTTTCCAAACTGAGAAAGAACCTGAAAAAAATATTATGAACACATCAACTTTTTTGCACAAATATTAACTGAATGTCAACAAGATTCTAAAATAAGTGACAAAGTTAATAAATTCTTTTTTAAAAAAATCTTAAACTTATGAAAGAGTTTCGTTTATTACATCCATCTTTCCAAGACAAACAACAAAGTTTTAAGTTACGGTACAAACTTACCTTTCATCTGCTACACCACATTCCAAGAGATTGTTGAAAATTAATTGAATTAAGAACAAAGCTGGAGTTCCCTGAAGGAGAAAATGAAGTCAACCTTCTCAGTTACCAAGAATAGAACACTTGTTTTCTGTAATTGGTTATTTAAGAAATAAAACTTTTAGCATGACAAATTTAACTTCTGGCATTACTTAGGGTATGACAACCATCTTAGTAAGATTATTTCCGTAAAAACTACACACAAAAAGCAAGCTCTTTATATTCTAATCATAGCTGTTTCCTCTAAACAGTAAATCAAGAAATGATGAGATTCCAGATATACAAAAATCAACTTAAAACTTGCAGGAATCACAATGCCTACATCCTAGAGATACTAACTGCATTTTACATTAGCTTCTAATATTTCTAACAGTAACCAGTAACAGTAACACTATTACCATATATAAACAAATAAAAAACTTTCCTTTCAGAGAAATTTATTTAATCCAGGGAAACAGTTTCATCATTCACATAGCAGCATATTTGATTCTTTACATTAACTATCAGTTTTTCCTTTATTTGGTCAACATACTTCAAATCCAATACTCTCAGAATTTTACATAAAGTATCTTTTTTTTAAAAAAGGGAAATATGGCCAGGTACAGTAGCTCACACCTGTAATCCCAGCACTTTGGGAGACTGAGGCAGGCTGATCACCTGAGGTCAGGAGCTTGAGATCAGCCTGACCAACATGGAAAACCCCATCTCTACCAAAAACACAAAATTAGCGGGGTGTGCTGGCACATGTCTGTAATCCCAGCTACTCGGGAGGCTAAGGCAGGAGAATCACTTGAACCTGGGAGGCAGAGGATAGAGTGAGCCAAGACTGAGCCATTGCACTCCACCCTGGGCAACAAGAGTGAAACTCTGTCTCAAAAAAACAATTAAAAATAAAAAATAATAAAGAAAATAAAAAAGGGAAATATGATTTTTTTGGCCAATCTTCATCATATTACATTTAAGATACTTGCATTAAGAATATCCATATTAGCAACCTGATATGCTGGTGAACCTAATACTTTCTGAGGAAGTCCTTTAACTGTAATTTCCATGAGGACCTATGAGAGATAAAAGGTTTTACAGTAAATTAGCCGAAAAATATTACCTAATAAAAGTCTGAGTGTTAACTGTTTCTCTAACAGTTAGAAGTAATGTTCATTCATTAACATAATCTCATTAGTAAAAAAGATCAAAAACATCAATTCACTAACATGAATTCTGCATCAGTTTTAAAAGTTCAAACACAGAAACACAGAAAGCAGGCAAAGTCTTCAATCTCTAGAGATAATCAATACTTTCACAGTTTGGAGTCTACTTTCCCAGACCTTCTAAATTTCTATATATGTAAGTACACAAAAAAACACATACTTCCTGGATAGGCGGTTATACACACATTCCTTTAAATCATTAAAGCCTTTACACTAAACTTTGCAACTAACTTTCATTTTACCTTATTACAGAGTTTTTGCATCAATATATTAAAAAAACTGCTACATGAAGCTGGGCACCCATGGCTCATGCCTGTAATCCCAGCACTATGGGAGGCCGAGGCAGGTGGATCACAAGGTCAGGAGTTAAAGACTAGCCTGGCCAACATGGTGAAACTCCATCTCTACTAAAAATACAAAAATTAGCCAGGCATGGTGGCAGGCACCTGTAATCCCAACTACTTGGGAGGTTGAGGCAGAGAATTGCTTAAACCCGGGAGGTGGCGGCTGCAGTGAGCCTAGATCGCTCCACAGCACTCCAGCCTGGGCAACAGAGTGAGACTGCTAAATCAAACTGACTGAGCCTACCAAACTGCTCTCCAAAAATATTACTATATTGTTTCTTTTCTTTTTTGAGACAGGGTCTCACTGTTGTCCAGGCTGGATTACAGTGACACGATCTTGACTCGCTGCAGCCTCAACCTCCTGGGCTCAAGTGATTCTCCCACCTATTTCCAGAATAGCTAGGACTACGGGCGTGCCACCATGCCCGGCTAATTTTTGCAATTTGCCCACCTCGACCTCCCAAAGTGCTAGGATTACAGGTGAGAGCCACCATGCCCAGCTGTAACATACTGGTATGAACATGTACTACACAACTCAAATGTTGTAACAATAGGAAAGTTCCATCAGTGAAAATACACTTTCACATACTGTCATCTGAAACAGATTAGTAATCATAATAGACAGTATTAGTTTGTGCCTGGCCCATAGTACTTTGCAGGTATCAACTCATTTAGTCTTTAACTCAACTACTGTTACATTCCCTTTTTACACATAGGGTTAGAAAAGCCAAGAGAAGAGAGAAATTACACAAATTCACTCATCTAATAAATAGTTGGGCTGGTATTAAACCTAGTCTGTTCCAGATCCCTTGCTATTATCACTATGCTATACTGCCACAGAACACACTTAACTGTCAAAATACAAAAAAGAAACAAAATCAGAATTTAAATAAGGATATTGTTAGTTCCATCTGGACCTTATTTTGAGATGCTCGTGTCATCAAAATTATATACAATTCACTTTTCTTCCTGTACTACATACATTAAAAACAGAAATGTATTTTAATATCAAAGTCACTAACTTGGTAAAAGATGGTTAATTTAAAAGAAGGTACCAGCTAACCATTAGTGGTTTTCAGTAATCCTATCATAAAATTAAAAGACTTCTGAGTTTCTTCAACTCAAGTTTCATGTCCTTTACCCTATTTTTTCTCTGTATGGCGAATACTTATTTTCTTATCACATTGAAGACTTCTGTGGTTGTTGTTATAGTCACTTCACTAAAAAGATTTCAAATGACTCTACAGTTAATAAATGGCACTTATTGCAATAGGGCTAAACTACTGAGGAATGCTTGATACAAAAAACGTCTTCACAAACTAGATCTGTGCAAATATCTTCAATATAAAGTTTAACTTCAGAATATGGTTTTTAAAGTCCAACATATGGGTATTACACTTACCAGCGTTTTTGATACAGGAAATACTTCAGACTTTACTATGTTTTCCAAAGACTTTAACGACAGAGTCAAAACTTCAGAACCTGGTCTCTCCTTTTTGTTACCTATTAAAAAGCAAAGAGTTTAGTTCTTTTCTTTTTCTTTTTTGGAAACAGGGTTTCACTCTGTCACTCAAGCTGGAGTGTAGCAGCACAATCTCAGCTCAATACAACCACCACTTCTCAGGTTCTGGAGATTCTCCTGCCTCAGTCTCCTAAGTAGCTGGGATTAAAGGTATTCAACACACTGGTCTAATTTTTGTATTTTTAGTAGAGACGCGTTTGCCAGGCTGGTCTCAAACTCCTGATCTCAGGTGATCTGCCTGCCTCAGCCTCCCAAAGTGTTGGGATTATAGGCGTTGAGCCACCATGCCCAGCCAAGAAGGGTTTTTTTTTTTTTTTTTTGGTTTTGTTTTTGGGGATGGAGTTTCGCTCTTGCTGCCCAGGCTGGAATGCAATGGCACAATCTTGGCTAACCACAACCTCCGCCTCCTGGGTTCAAGTGATTCTCCTGTCTCAGCCTCCCGAATAGCTGGGATGACAGGCATGCACCACCATGCCCAGCTAACTTTGTATTTTTAGTAGAGACAGAGTTTTACCATCTTGGCCAGGCTGTTCTCAAACTTCCGACCTCAGGCAACCCACCTGCCTCAGCCTCTCAAAGTGCTGGGATTACAGGCATGAACCACTAAGCCTGGCAATAAGGGTATATTTCTAAGCATGTATTTTTAGAGGTGACTACACAGAGAGCTGTAAAAATTTTTTTCTAAATCAACAAGTGCCTTGTTTAAAGTATAGTTGACCCTTGAACAGCACAGATTTGGACTGCATGAATCCACTCAGACTCAGGTTTTCCTCCAACCCTGAAACAGCAAGTTCTACCTCTCGTCTTCCCTCCTTAGCGTACTTAACATGAAGACAAGGATATGGTAATGCATTTCCAAGTAATGACTGTATTTTCCCTTCCTTATGATTTGCCTAACGTTCTTTTCACAAACTTACCATACTGTTAATGAACACAGCATTTAATAACACATAAGTATATGTTCATCAGCTATTATGTTATCAGCAAGGCTTCCTATTAACAGGTTAGCAATAGTCAAGTTCTGGGGGAGTCCAAAGTTATATGTAGATTTTTGACTGTGTGGTGGGTCAGCACACCTAACTCCAGTGTTGTTCAGGCATTGACTACAAATTAAAACCTGGAAACTATGACAGTACAAGAAATACTTTTAAAATAAATTTAATATATGCCAAACAATTCACTGGATGTTATAAAAAACATGTGACCACCTCCTGTTTAAAAAAAAAAAAAAAAATCATTTCATCAGTGTAGTAATGCTTACCTGATTCAGTAACTGACTTCACCAAGTTAATTAGTTCCTTCCAGATAGCACTGACAACCACATCTGTCAAACAAAGAAGTATTTTAAATGAAGTATATATGACTATGTGCTATGACTAACACTCTCCCTTTACTTCCTTATTCTAAAGAAATAAATTGAACAAGTTAATAATGTAATTTTCCTCATGATAGCCCTGTAGTAAGTTTATAAAACACTATCACCTCATTTCTGTTTGTAGAAGCTAAATGTGTTTATTTTTTTTGAGACAGAGTCTTCCTCTGTCCAGTTTGAAGTACAGTGGCACCATCATAGCTCATTGTCATCTCAACAACCTGGGCTCAAGCAGTCTTCCCACATTAGCCTCCCAAGTAGCTAGGACTACAGGTACACACCACATCCAGCTAATTATTATTATTACATTTTTTTGTAAAGACGGCATTCTCACTTTGTTGCCCAGGCTGGTCATAAACATCTGCCTCAAGTGACCCACCCAACTTAGTCTCCCAAAGTGTTAGGATTACAGGCGTGAGCTACCCATGTCCAGCCATAACTGTTCTTTAAAACAACTATAACATGTTAACACTGAATTGTATAACTAAGGGTAATTGCTTTATCTTTTTTCCATTATCTTTCTTTTCTGAATTAAATGCCGACTACTTTTGAGACAGAGATTGTTCAGAAGGGTATCTAACAACCAACAGAAAAAAATTATGTGATTCACTGTGATACTTTTTCCAACCAGTTAAGTAGCAAACAATTTTTGAAGTTTCCTTTCCTTATTATTTGTTTAGATACAGATGCTGGAGCCATAGAGCCTGAGCCTCAATCACAGTAATGCCACTTATAAGCGACTCTGTACAACTTAACGTTATTTCCTGTACAACCCAGTTTCCTCATTTGTAAAATGAACTAACATGGAAAGTTACTGCAAAGATTAAATGAATATACGTAAAGTTCAAAAACTATCTGATAAACAATCCAGTAAGTGGCACCATAATATTTGCTATTTTGTCTTTTTTATTTTTTGATACAGGGTTCTTACTCTATCATCCACACTGGAGTGCAGTGGTACAATCTTGGCTCACGGCAACCTCCCACCTCCTGGGCTCAAGCAATTCTCATACCTCTGCCACCCAAGCAGCTGAGACTATAGGTGTCTGCCACCAGGCCCACCTAGTTGTTATTTTTTTGTAGACAGGGTTTTGTCATGTTGCCCAGGCTGGTCTCAAACTTGAGTTCAAGTGATCCACTCGCCTGTGCCTCCCAAAGTGCTAGGATGACAGGTATGAGCGCTACTGTGACTGGCCTATTTTATCTTGTTTTAAAACACACATTTAAGTAATAAATCAAATTCTCTTACCAGGGGCTTCTTTTCCAACTGCAACAAAGCTATCACGAACAGCAGTGATAAGTGTATTTGCATGTTTGGAAAAAAAAGAAGGGCTGCTGATTAACGGATGTTCGAGTGGCTCTGAAAGGGGAGAATAAAAGAAAACCACGTAAAACAACAGATTTATGAAATACATTTTTCACTATAAAACTTTAAATCGTCTATTAAGTGTCTTTTCTATAAAAAAGATTCACATTTATTTTATACACAATTATAAAGTATTTTGGCTGTGAAAAAATACCTCTCCTCACCCCAATCCACTAATTTCTGGACTGTTTTAATATAAATAAAATTATTCTTAAAGCATTTTAAATACCTAAGCTTAGCACAAATTTATTTTGCTTAGCAAAATTCAAGACTTCTGGAGCCAGTAAGAAATGAAGCAACATTTCAAGTCCCAAAAGTTGAATGGAAGGGATTGTGGCCATTCCACCTAAATTCGAACTCAGGTTCATTCGGGGAGTTCCCGGGGCTCCGTATGGGGAGGAAGCACCTTTAAGGAAAAAAAAGAGTAAGTAATATAAGCTTATTTTATATTGGCTACCCAAATGCATATATTTCATTTCAATGTAACTTTTAAAAACAGAGTTTAAATGTCTCAAGCATTAATCTGCACCCTGAAATATTAATATGCAAGTATTCTGTAACATAAATTTAGAAGACTCAGATGGCAAACAAAAAATAATACATATGAAATAACTGTCTTTCAATGATATACATAAAAAGACACTTTTATTCTATCTGCTATTTTTTTTTTTTGAGACAGTCTCATTGTACTGCCAAGGCTGGACTGCAGTCACAATCGTAGCTCACTATAACCTCAAACTCCTGGGCTCAAGCAATTCTCCAACCTCAGCATTCTATGCAGCTGTAACTGTAGGTGGATGCCACTGTGCTTGGCTAATTTTCAAATTTTTTGGAGACAGGGCCTTACTGTGTAGCACAGGCTGGTATCGAACTCCTGGCCTCAAGTGATCCTCCTACCTCAGCCTCCCCAAGTACTGAGATTATAGGTGAATGCCACTGCACCTGGCTGAAGGGTTTTTTTTTTCTTTTTTATGAGACTAAGTCTTGCTCTATCACTCAGGATGGAGTGCAGTGGTGTGATCGCAGCTCACTGGAACCTCCGCTTCCTGGGGTCAAGCGATTCTCATGCCTCAGCCCCCACGAGTAGCTGGGATTATAGGAGTCTCCACCATGCCCAGCTCATTTTTGTATTTTTAGTAGAGACGGGGTTTCACCATGTTGGCAACCTTAGGTGACTTACCTGCCTAGGCCTCCCAAACTGCTGACATTACAGGTGTGAGCCACCACACCCGGCTGATGTGTTGTTTTTAATAGTGCTAAGATTCTGGTTCTAAAACCCACAGTTTCATGTTAGCTGCTCTGAGTTTTATGTAATGTACCTCATACAATATAGTAAAAAAAAAAACTGTCTCTTCTAAATCACAACAATGCACTTACAATAGTAATCTATAAGATATTAAAAAAAAAAACAAAAAATAGAAAAACATAATGGATTTTTGGGTAACGAACCTAAAAATTATGAAGTGCTTCATTTCATATGAAAAACACTGAGCAAAACCTCTCAAAGCCCTTTTTCCTCCCTGCTTCAAAATTATGATTCTAGGTCAACAAAGCCTGATTAAAAAAGCAAAAAACAAAGATATCTACCTCTTACCTTTGTTTACAGGAGTCATAGGAGTTAAACCTGGAGAGGTAGCTACACGACATGAATTGCCTTGAGGTGAGGCATTACAATCAATGCTTATTGTACTTTGAATCAGAGGCACACAAACCTATTGGGGTGAAGGATGAGAAAATATTAATCTATAAACTATACAACTGTCACAGTTTCTAAAAGCCTCACATAATATAAATTTCTTTTAAATGGAGCCTTAATATATTCCAATTTACAGGTTGTTTCCATGCACCAACAGGCTAAAACATAAAATTTGGGAAAAAAAAAAAAAAAAATGAACATTTTATTACAACTGTTATTTGCCCTAAATGTGTATTACTTAAATTTGTTTATAAACATCTGAATTCTACACATTATTGGTAGGCTAATTTTAACTTTTTAAAAGCTCTGGAAAATATGAACTAAGACATAGCTCATTTGTAACACCATCCTAGTACCAGTCACATGTAGTTACCAAATAAATGATTCCAATTAATGTATTGGACAAATGCATTAAGACTAGCCTATTAGATCCTTATGATGGTAGAATTGGAAAATTCATTATGATCCAAATTACATTATTGTTAATGCCCAACTTCAAATACTTCATGTTATATAAAATTTAAGTCTTAATGAAAAATTAAGAACTGAATAAACATGGCTTAAATATATTTATAAGTCCTCCTTTCCAAGAATGCATTCCCTGCTATGCAGACATTTATATAAAATTTAAGGACCACAGACCCAGAAGTAAAATACACCCTCAAACTCCAGAATGAATGATAAAGAAATAAAAAAGATGTTATCAGAGCTGCTCCTTTTAACTGTTACCAAAAAAAAAAATTCAAAAACCAAGAATGAAAATAATTGCAAAAAACCCAAAAGGCTGAGATAAGATTAACCTTTAGATCTAAATACCAGTAAGGATATTAAAATCTTGAAGAATTTATAAAATCATTGTGTCACAATTAAAAACAACTACAATACGAATAAGTCATTGCTTAATACCATGCAGCATAAAGAAAGGAGAAACAAAAAATAAGAACTGGTCCAACCTTATATCTACCCTGTGTAGCTCTTGATTTCACTAAGGCTGATTTTCCTCTCAATTATATTCCAAACCCTCTGGGGAAAAAAAAGCTTTTTAAATTTTTTTTGAGATGGAGTTGCGCTCTGTTGCCCAAGTGCAATGGCTGATCTCAGTTCACTGCAATCTCTGCTCCTGAGTTCAAGCTATTCTCCTGACTCAGCCTCCCAAGTAACTGGGGCTACAGGTGCGCATCACCATGCCCAGCTAAGTTTCGTATTTTTAGTAGAGACGGGGTTTCACCATATTGGCCAGGCCGGTCTCGAACGCCTGACCTTGTGAACCACCTGCCTTAGTGTCCCAAAGTACTGGGATTACAGGCGTGAGCCACTGCACCTGGCCAAAGCCTCTTTCTAAAATCATAATGCTTGTAGAGTAAGAATAAATATTTTTGAGTATTTGCTGATTTAAAAACACTTCAGGGCCAGGCACGGTGACTCATGCCTGTAATCCCAGCATGCTGGGAGACGGGGGAGGGCAGATTACTTGAGGCCAGGAGTTTGGAACCGTCTAGACAACATGGCAAAACCCCATCTCTATTAAAATTAGAAAAAATTAGATGGGCGTGGTCGCATACCTGTAGTCCCAGCTACTCAGGAGGCTGAGGGCAGGAGAATCACTTGAACCTGGGAGATGGAGGCTGCAGTGAGCCGAGATCTTACCACTGTACTCCAGCCTGGGTGACAGAACAAGACTCCAACTCAAAATAAATAAATAAGTAAAAAATAAAAACACTTCAGGTAAAGGGACTCGATTTCAAGCAATTGAACAACATCCCTTGTAGGAAATGAATTTAAATTCTGTGCTAATAAAGAGCAATAGCCTTTATATGTTCCAGTTTGCTAATAAATAGCAAAAATAACACTAAAAGATTGGGTTCATAAGAATTTGAAAACACAGTAACAAAAAACATAAAGTCCTATAGTCAACACTTGAAATGTTACCTGTTCAAAATTAGCAGGAAGATGAGGTCCAAGTCTCAGCAGTAAATACCACCAGACTTCTAGTTTTGTTAATGCTAGAGTTTCGGTTCTCACATGAATGGAACTCAAAGGCTGCATTAACAACTTGAGTCTTTTTGCACTGCATAGTATGTCTTAAAAGAAAATAAGCACAAGGGTAAAGAAACATCCAAGCTAAAGATTCTAAAATTAGTTATGCAATAATCGTCTTTTATCCCAGCCAGAGACTAGATTTAAAAATATTTTTTAAAAACTAAATCCTCAGGCTGTCCTTGCTGTACCCAAAACTTGCATTTTGATAAACTGCAGTACAGCTGCACCAAAAACACTCTATAAAGCAAAGATTAAAAAGAGTAAGTAATATTTATTAGACATTGCATGCCAGGACAATTTCCCACCAGGAAACATTTTAGGTTGGGTACAAGTGAGGGGATGCTACTGACATCTTACTGAGTAAAGACTAGGGACACTACTAAACTTCAACACACAGGACAGTCCCAAACAATAAATTATCCAGCACAAAATGCCAAAACTTTGAGAAATACTGTCGTAGCTGCTTTAGCATTCTCATCATCCTCATCTGACAAAGAAATGGAGGCATATGTTTACATTATGTCAAACAAGGCTAACATTTTCAAAAATCAATTATTAATATATTCATCCAATATCATTACTGTTGGGGCCACTGACTGAATACATTTTTGAAATATAGATTAATTTAAATTCAAGACTGTCCTACAGTAACAATAATCAGAATGTTAGAATTCAGCATAGAAATTAAATCCAATCTTCAGACAAAATATCTATGCCAAGTAAGACTGGGAATACGTAAAATTAAGACATAGTCTGTGCTAAATAACTTGTCAAAGATCTAAAGGCCAAGCATGGTGGCTCAAACCTATAATCCTAGCACTTTCGGAGGCTGAGGCCGGTGGATCATGAGGTCAGGAGTTTGAGACCAGCCTGGCCAACATGGTGAAACTCCGTCTCTACCAAAAAATACAAAAATAAGCTGTGTGTGGTGGCACACACCTATAATCCCAACTACTTGGAAGGCTGAGGCAGGAGAATCGCTTGAATCCAGGAGGCAGAGGTTGCAGTGAGCTGAGTTCGAGCCACTGCACTCCAGCCTGGGTGGCAGAGGGAGACTCGGTCTCAAAAAAAAAAAAAAAAGACCTGAAAAGGGCTGGGCATGGTGGCTCACGCCTGTAATTCCAGTACTTTGGGTGGGTGAGGTGGGCGGGTCACTTGAGGTCAGAATTTGGAAACCAGTCTGGCCAACATGGTGAAAATATCCCTATTAAAAATACAAAAACCGTTAACCAGGCGTGGTGGTAGGCGCCTGTAATCCCAGCTATTCAGGAGGCTGAGGCAGGAGAATCACCTGAACCCAGGAGGCAGAGGTTGCAGTGAGCTGAGATCACAACACTGCACTTCAGCCTGGGCGACAGAGCAACTCATCAAAAAATATAAATAAATAAATTAGCCAGGCGCGGTGACTCACGCCTATAATCCCATCTCTTTGGGAGGCCGATGCAGGTGGATCACGAGGTCAAGAGATCCAGACCATCCTGGTCAACGTGGTGAAACCCCGTCTCTATTAATACTACAAAAAATCAGCTGGGCATGGGTGGCGCGTGCCTGTAATCCCAGCTACTCAGGAGGCTGAGGCAGGAGAATTGCCTGAACCCAGGAGGCGGAGGTTGCGGTGAGCCGAGATCGTGCCATTGCACTCCAACCTGGGTAACAAGAGCGAAACTCCGTTTCAAAAAAATTAATTAACTAACTAAATAGACTTCAAAAGGATTCTGAAACATCAGTCAGGCCATGTATTTGGTGGAATAGCATTCAACAATGTCTGTTACAACTACTCTGCCATCTAGCTATTTCAATAAACACTTCTACAAGAAAATAAATGCAGATCACTATATGAGCAAGTTCTCCAGTCCAAAACACCTCCTTTTTGGGGCTCCTACTCTATTTATTTATTTATTTAATTTTTGAGACGAAGTTTCGCTCTTGTTGACAAGCCCAGAGTGCAATGGCGCAATCTCCGCCCCTTGTTATCAAGCTATTCTCCTGCCTCGGTTTCCCAAGTAACTGGGATTATAGGGGCCGCCACCACGCCCAGCTTATTTTTGTATTTTTAGAAGAGATGGGGTTTCTCCATTTTGGTCAGGCTGGTCTCAAACTCTTGACCTCATGTGATCTGCCTGCCTTGGACTCCCAAAGTACTGGGATTACAGGCATGAGCCATTGCACTCAACCTCCAATTCTATTTCTGCAAACAGCTTCATAATAGTATCTCTACAGTAGCAGAGATTATGAATTGCCATACAATCTTTAATTACAAAATCTGATTTTATGCAGGACAGAGATGGGTGACAATTTTTTACTGCTTTTTCTAGTCCTCTATTGAACCATTCTATGTAGTAAAATTTAAGTGAATGTTTATGTAAGATTCTAAGAAAGCTCTTTCTGGGTATAACTAATTCAGCTGTGAAGAAGTCTTTTCTGCTCTTCTACCTTCCCTCCTTCCTGTCTGCACCTAAGACAAACTGAAGATGACAAACTGTCTTTTGACAGTCATCTGATTCCTTGATGACTTCCTAGATCCACAGTGTCAGTCATGGATTCTCTAGCTTTGAGCTTATCTTCTTTAAACCCCTCTTATTTGATACTTCAACTTAATTTCTGAAGATTGTAGCCCCAAACATTACCTCACACTTCTGGGTTTACAGAGTTAGACCCAAATACATGCCAGGTCATAAAAATAAGCTACAATTTCAATTAAAAATTACAGTAGACTAAGCATAGTGGCTCACACCTATAGTCTTAACACTTTGGGATGCCAAGGCAAGTGGACTGCTTGAGTTCAGGAGTCCGGGACTAGCCTGAACAACATGGCCAAACCACGTCTCTACAAAAAACACAAAAATTACCCAGACTTGGTGGCACCAAGCTACTTGGGGGGCTGAGGTAGACAGATCACTGGAGCACAGGAGGTCAAGGCTGCAGTGAGCCATGATCATGCCACTATATTCCAGCCTAGGTGATATGACAGACCCTGTCTTTAAAAAAATAAAAAATAAATAAAAAGCCAAACAGGCTGGGCATGGTGACTCACACCTGTAATCCCAACACTTTGGGAGGCCGAAGTGGACAAATTACCTTAGGCGGGGAGTTTGAGACCAGCCTGACCAACATGGAGGAACCCTGTCACTACTAAAAATACAAAATTAGCTGGACATGGTGGCACATGCCTGTAATCCCAGCTACTTGGGAGACTGAGGCAGGAGAATCACTTGAACCCAGGAAGTGGAGGTTGCAGTGAGCCAAGATTGTGCCACTACACTCCAGCCTGGGCAACAAGAGCAAAATTCCATCTCAAAAAAAAGAAAAAAGAATAACAAAAAAACCTATGTCCCCAAAATATAATTTTACCAGTATTTTAAGTAAAAGTAATTATATTTAATGCAAATAATCACATTACAAAATATATTAAGAGGAAGAAATGGGATAACTGTATTTGGCAGGAAAAATACAGAACAAACATTACTTTGCTTTTCTTGTAAACATACAGTATTAATTAAATCTAAGATTACCTACCACCTAGTTAAGTATACATACTAAACCAGTTTTGGGCTAAATATTCTTCCTTATAAACATATTATCAGCAAACTCCACTGGACAATAAGAAGATAAGGTTAAAGTAAATCAAAAGGAATCACTTCCATATATTAACATTAACCCACTACTAGGTCCTCTTCTGGAGATCCTGAAAGAACTAAGCCATCAATCACTGATATTTTTATTCCACGGAAATCACAACTATTTCCTATTACCTATTGCCTGTGTGACCTCCGGCAAATTATTCCATCTCTCTAAAATAGTGATAATAATTAAATCTCAGGCCTACTGTGATGATTAAGTAAAATATACAAAAAGTACTCAACTCAGTGCTAACATGTAAGAATGCCACAAATAATAGGCTGGGTGCTATGGCTCATGCCTGTAATCCCAGAATTTTGGGAGGCCAACGCATGCAAATCACTTGAGGTCAGGAGTTTGAGACCAGCCTGGCCAACACAGTGAAGCCTTGTCTCTACTAAAAATACAAAAATTAGCCAGTGTGGTGGCAGGCACCTGTAATCCCAGCTACTCAAGAGCGGGGACAGGAGAATCACTTGAACCTGGGAGGTGGAGGTTGCAGTAAGCCGAGATCACACTACTCTACTATACTCCAGCCTGAGAGACACAGCAAGACTCTGTCTCAAATCAAAAAACAAAACAAAAAACAAGAAAGCCACAAATAGTATTTTTCACTTTGTTCAGTTTTTAAAATACTGTAAAGCAAATTTTATAATTGTGATTTTCAATGCCTAGCATTTGATTTCTATTCAGTACAAATTTATTCCTGGTTCCCTTAAAATGAAAATAATTCAGCAATAGCTTAATTTCAACTTCAAATCCAAAAAAACCAGAAAAACTTCATTTATCTTGCTTTAAGCAAAATGAATTAACAGAAAATCAAAACTGATAAAATATTACCTACTTACCTGGATTTAAAGCAAAATTATCTATTAAACTCTTCCAAGCAATAAAAGCTATTTTTTTAATCATGGGTGAGCCACTACGAAATCCTAGTTCTTCTAGTTGCAACAGAGAATTAATGAAACTCCCACTTCGATGCAAGGTCTAAAAAAGGGAAAAGTCATTAAGAAGTTATTTACCTGCATGAAACAATAATTGTTATCATTCATTTATTCATTCACTTAATAGATGCTATTTGTACTTCATAATCTAAGAGGGAGACAAAAGACAAATTATTCACAAAACAAAGAGATGTGTTAAGTGTCAGATACGTAAAACATCTTAAGAATCTAAGAAAATATTTAACTCTAAACACACATTCCAAATTCAAGACCATAAAATAGTTTAAAGAAGCAGATAATGCATAACACAGAACATTTCTAAAACATTAGAGAACATTAGGATAGTGGATAAATCCCAAACTTAAAACACTACCAAATAAAATATACATTTATATAAAAAAAATTATCAGTATTAGAGAAAAAAGGTGTTGAACCCTGAAAATAATAAAAATAACCTTTTGGACTGAAAGAAAATTAAGGAATTTCATGGCTGTAAAATAAGTATTTTTTTTAAAAAGGTAGTATCTAATAATAAATACAACAAATTGACATAAAATCAAGAAAATGAAATTACTTTTTTTTTTTTTTTTTTGGGAAGTAATCTGTCACCCAGGCCGGAGTGCAGTGGCGCCATCTCAAGCTCACTGCAGCCTCTGCCTCCTGGGTTCAAGCAATTCTCCTGCCTCAGCCTCTTAAGTTGCTGGGATTACAGGCTAATGCCACCATGCCTGGCTAAGTTTTGTATTTTTAGTAGAGATGAGGTTTCTCCATGTTGGCTAGGTTGGTCTTGAATTCCTGACCTGAAGTGACTCACCTTCCTTGGCCTCCCAAAGTGCTGGGATTACAGGCGTGAGTCACCACACTTGGCAGAAAACTGGATTAACTCCTGAATTACTTCCAAATATTATGTAAGATTTAAATGGGAATACTATCAAACAAAAGGAAACTATGAGCTCAGGAGCAAAAGAGAAAAAAAAAGTTTTTTTAAAAAGCAAAATAAAGTACAAAATGGAAAAATGACAAGTAAACACTGCATCACGATTAAAAAATTACATAAACAATAACACTCCCAACAGGCCATAAACCACATATAATCTTAGGCTATAAACCAGTAACCAAAAAAAAAAAAGGATTAGAAAAAAATACACAAGATAGCTACGAGAGCTAAAAGAAATACTTAGTAATAGATCTAGCTCAAGAAGTTAAAGACACAAGATGAAAACTACAAAGCACTGCTGAAAGAAATTAAACACCTCAGCCAGGTGCAGTGGCTCATGCCTATAATCCCAGCATTTTGGGAGGCCAAGGCCAGTGGATTGCTTTAAGTCATGAGTTCAAGACCAGTTTGGCCAACATGGTAAAACACCATCTCTACCAAAAACACAGAAATTAGCCAGGCATGCTGGCAGGCACCTATAATCCCAGCTACTTGGCAGGCCAAGGCAGGAGAATCACTTAAACCCAAGAGACTGAGGTTGCAGTGAGCCAAGATCTCGCCACTGCACTACAGCCTGGGTAACAGAGACTCTGTCTCAAACAAACAAACAAAAGCCAAAACAATCGTGGAAAGAAAAAAACCAGACAACTCACACTTACTGACTTCCAAACTTAGTATAAAATGAATACATATGGTAACGGCATGAGGACAGGCATACAGACCAACATAATAGAATACTGAGCTTGGAAATGTATCTTTGCACCTATGTTCAATTGATTTTAAGGGTACCACAGGCTGGGTGCAGTGGCTCATGCCTGTAATCCCAGCACTTTGGGAGGGCAAGACAGGTGGATCTCTTAAGCTCAGGAGATTGAGACCAGCCTAGCCAACATGGTAAAACTCCATCTCTAATAAAAATACCAAAAGAAAAAAAAAATTAGCCAACTGTGATGGCTGGCACCCATAATCTCAGCTACTTGGGAGGGTAAGGCAGGAAAATCGCTTGAACCCAGGAGGCAGAGGTTGCAGTGAGCCAAGATCGCACCACTGCACTCCAACGTGTGCAGCAGAGACTATGTTTCAAAGAAAAAAAACAAAAACAAAAAAGGGGACCACAAGGATTTAATAAAAACAACCTTTTAAACAAATGGTACTGAGGAATCTGAACATCTGTATGCAAAAGGATGAATGTGGACCCTCACCTTACACCACATCCAAATATTCACTGAAAATGGTTCAAATATCTACGCTCAAAATCTAAAACTGGAAAATTCTTCGAAGAAAGCATTGGGAAACAAAGACGACACTGGATTTGGCAACAACTTCATGAATATGACATCAAGTACAGGCAGTAACAAAAAAAAATACACACACACACACACACACACACACACACACACATATATTGTACTTCATCAAAATTAAAAACTTAGTGCAATGAATATTACCAAGAAAGCAAAAGACAACCTGCAGAATGGAAGCAAATATTTGCAAATCACATTAACTGATAAGGGATAAATATCCAAAACATATAAAGAGCTACAAGTCAACAACAATACAAACCTATTAAAAAATGGGCCAAGGACTTAAATAGACATTTCTCCGTAAACAATAAGATAAACAGCCAAGAACCATGTGAAAAGATGTTCAACATCATTAGTAATCAGAGAAATGCAAATCTATACCACAGATATGCATGTATCTATATGCAATCCCCCTTCACATTCACTAGAATGGCTATCATTAAAAAATAAAAAGTGTTGGCCGGGCGCAGTGGCTCAAGCCTGTAATCCCAGCATTTTGGGAGGCTCAGGCAGGTGGATCACGAGGTCAAGAGATCAAGACCATCCTGGTCAACATGGTGAAACCCCATCTCTACTAAAAATGCAAAAAATTAGCCGGGCATGGTGGCGCATGCCTGTAATCCCAGCTACTCAGGAGGCTGAGGTGGGAGAATTGCCTGAACCCAGGAAGCGGAGGTTGCAGATCACGCCATTGCACTCCAGCCTGGGTAACAAGAGTGAAACTCTGCCTCAAAAAAATAAAAAAATAAAAATAAAAAGTGTTGATGAGGATGTTAAAGTGGAACCCTAGTGCATTACAGTGGGAATGTAAAATGATGTTAACTGCTACAGAAGAGTTTGGTGCTGCCTTGTTGCAGTGGCTCATGCCTGTAATTCCAGTAATCTGGGAGGCTAAGGCAGGCAGACAGATCACCTGAGGTCAGGAATTTGAGACCTGGCCAACATGGCGAAACCGTGTCTCTACTAAAATAAAAATTAGCCAGATGTAGTGGTACATGCCTGTAATCCCAGCTACTGGGGAGTCAGAGGCAGGAGAATTGCTTGAATGCAGGAGGCAGGGGCTGCAGTGAGCTGAGATCATGCCATTGCACTTCAGCCTGGGAGACTAGAGCGAAACTGTCTCAAAAAAAAAAAAAAACTTTATCCTTAGTGAAATAAGCCAGACACAGAAGGGCAAAACATAATTTCACTTATATGAGGTAGCTTGAACAAGCAAATTCAGAGACAGAAAGTAGAACAGACTTTACCAGAGGCTGATGTCTGGGTCAGGGAGGAGGGCAGGAGTTTACTGCTTAACAAGTAGTTTTTGTTGGAGATGATGCAAAAGTTTTGGGTATAGATAGTGGTGATGCTTACTACATTATCAATAGACTTAATGCCACTGAATTGTTCATTTACAAATGGTTAGGATATACATATATTTGCCACAATAAAAGCAGCACACCCTCCACCACCCAAAACCTGGCTTAATCATTGAACATACAGTTGATTCTCTCTCATTATTCACAGTAGTGATGGTCTTCTATTGTATAAAATCCCTTTGAACACTAAATTAAGCAAATACTGAGCAATCACTCCCATGGGAAATACAGGGTTAGGTTTAAGTCTATGGACACAACCCTTTTGTCAACTGTTCAATATATAACCTGTTTAACATCCATCTATGAGAAGATATTTTTTATTATTGACTTGGTAACATCAAACTCAAAGCCAGTGGCTCTCTATAAGATGTGCCATGCCTGAACAAGGTTTATTTTCACCATTGGGCATATCACAGTCTTCCTTTGCTTAGGAACACAAACTAGACAGCACTTGTTCCTAGGCTTTGGATTCCAAATTTAAACAGTGAAACCACCAGGGAAAACACAGAAAAGTGAAAAATGTGGCATTACATGGATTATAAAAAGAATACCTGTTTAAGGTATGAGAACTAAAACAAAAAAGCAGAATGTAACCTTGCTTGACCTCGGCTTGAAAGATGAACTTTCCAGAACTGTGTGACTCCAATTCTTTGCTATTCTGGGTGTCTACAAATGATGGGGTGTCTACAAATGATGGCAAAAGCAATGCAAGTGCTGATTTGAGGTTTACAAATAAATTTTAGTGAGAAGGCATGCCTAAATAATGAGAATCAACTGTACAGAGGAAAGGTAAGAAAAGAAAGGGTCCAGCATATAAAAACTGCAGACTGTTCCACTATTAACTGGGTACTCACCCTTCCAAGTAGTTTGACAAACAAAGGCCATAATTTTAACACATAGGTCTCATTTTTACTCATAAATAGCTTCTGGAGTTCTGAGATTAATTTCTGCAAACAAAAGCAATTAATTTACCAAACAGAGTCTTAGAAAAAAAAAAATCCAATACCAAAGTCTAGGACTAATTTTCAAACACTGATTCAGCCAAATAGTTTTCTCCATAATAAAAATATTATCCCACCCAAGGCCAGGTGCGGTGGCTCACACCTATAATCCCAGCACTTTAGGAGGCTGAGCCAGGTGGATCACCTGAGGTCAGGAGTTCAAGACCAGCCTCACCAACATGGGGATACCCTGTTTCTACTTAAAATACAAAAATTAGCTGAGCATGATGGTAGGCGCCTGTAATCCCAGCTACTCGGGAGGCTGAGGCAGGAGAATCGCTTGAACCTGGGAGGCGGAGGTTGCAGTAAGCTGAGACCATGCCACTGAACTCCAGCCTGGGCAACAAGAGCAAAACTCAAAAAAAAAAAAAAAAAAATGAACTTCATCAGAATAAAGCTATTTACAAAGATACTAGAGTTACTTTGTTATACTGAACAATACCAAGAAGTGTTCTGCATTTTAAGCAAGTAAAATCCCAGGTTTTTGGGGTTGGGCATGGTGGCTCATGCCCATCATCCCAACACTTTTGGGAGACTGAAGGGGGAGGATTGCTTGAGCCCAGGAGTTCGAGACTGGCTTGGGTAATATAGTGAGACCTTGTCTCTTAAACAAACAAAACAAGACCTTGAAATATGGCTTTCCATATAACCTAAACACCCATCCTTACAATGGCCCCCCACCAAGGTCCTATGTGATTGCGCCCTCTTTTCCCTCTCACTCTCATTCACTCCACTCCTGTCATACTGCCCAGTGTTCCCTAAACACAAACCAGGTACACAACCATTAGAGCCGGGCCTTTTGCCCTCATGGTTCTTGTCTGGAATGAGCTTACCCGACATTATCCACATGGGTAACTCCTACTCTGCCTTCAAATCACTGTTCAAATGTCCTTTCCTTTGCCTTCTCTGACCACCTTACCATTCTTTTCTAGTGGTACTCTCCAGTCCTTGCTCTTCACTTACTACACTATGCACTTCATTATCTCTCCCACAGGAAAATAAGCTCCACAAGCCCCTTTTGTTCACTGCTATATGTACAGCACCTGCAACAATGGACTGCACATATCAGATGCCCAATAAATGTTAGAAGAACAATGGTTAGAAAATCTAAAACCTGTGGCAAGTAATAGCTAGAAAATTATACAGACTAGATAAACTTACATACATTAAATTTGTATCTACTGGGATTATACAGTAACAACCCAAACCTGAGTCAATCAGTTAATGGTCTTCCTCTTTCAGAAATACAAACTCTACTTTCTATTTATTGGGAATGGTGTAAAATGTCTGGATTTTAGTAGCAATAAACAGCTCCCTTCCTTACTGCTATGTAGGAGCAATGAGCCTACACTAGCTTATGTAATTATTAATGTTTTCATTCAAAGCTAAAATCCTAGATTGGTATAGTGCAACTATACCAATAAGCCTAGATGGATTTTTTTGTTCTTTTTTTTTTTTGAGACAGGGCTTCACTCAGTCCCATGCTAAAATGCAGTGGCAAGATCATAGCTCACTGTAGCCTCAAACTTCCAGTCAAGCAATCCTCTTGCCTTAGCCTCCCAAGCATCTGAGACTATGGGCTCATGCCACCACACCCATCTAATATTTTGTAGAGATGGGGTCTTATTATGTTGCCCAGGCTTGTCTGGAACTCCTGGCCTCAAGCAATCCTCCCACCTCGGCCTCCCAAAGCACTGCGAGAATAGCTGAGAGCCACTGTACCTGGTCCCCTGACTAAATTTTAAGCTTAGTGAAGAATTTTCTGATGCAGTATCCAGAAAATCATTACATTAAAAAAAACACTCACAGTAGTCATAAGTTGCTCCGTAATAGATGCTATTTCTTGCTGCTTCTGAAGCAATAATGGCATTCCCATCTCCAGAGCAGTAGCTCCCCGCAAATGTACCTTTTGTGCTGAATGAACCACTAAAGGTATGACCAGTTTTGCCCACCTCACTGCCTCTTCTCCCATTTGAATTGGCGCTTGTTCAATTAGCCTATAATAGAGCAATCAATGAATTAGCATGACCTCATGTTTTAAGTCTAAACAAGCAGTAAAATACGTGACACGTAGATATGTACACAGTACAGCCCATTTGTTTTAGAATATATACAAATATGCATATACATACAAGAAACAGATCTAATTTTTACTAATTGGCAAATTAATGGTTTCGCTTTTTTTTTTAAAGAAAAAATCTTGTCTTTCGGTTCAAATATTTAAAACAGTCATCCCTCAGTATCCCTAAGGGATTGGTTCGAGGACCTCACAACAATGCTGAAGTCCAATATAAAACGGACAATATGGTCATGCACCCAGGCAATGTTTCGGTGTTTCGGTCCAAGACACAGCAACATTCACAATGGTGGTCCCTTAATATTATAAGGGACCTGACAAGTTCCTATAACTTAGCGGCACTGTACCTATTTTAACGCTGCAGTGCAATACATTATTTACGTTTCTGATGACACTTGTGTAAACAAATCTGCACTAAAAAGTATAGCACAATTATATTCAGAACATAATACTGCCCTATATGATCATGATAATAAATGACTGGCTGGGCACAGTGGTGCACACCTATAATCCTAGCACTTTGGGAGGCCGAAGAGGGCTGATCACGAAGTCAGGAGAGTGAGATCATCCTGGCCAACATGGTAAAAACCCATCTCTACTAAAAATACAAAAATTAGCTGGGCATGGTGCAAACACTTATAATCCCAGCTACTTGGGAGGCTGAGGCAGGACAATCGCCTGAACTCTAGAGGCAAAGGTTGCAGTGAGCCAAGATCGCACTACTGCTCTCCAGTCTGGCAACAGAGCAAGATTCCCTCCCAAAAATAAATAAGTAAGTTACTGGTTCACGTACATATTACACTATAATTTTTATCATTAGAGTATACTCCTCCTACTTGCATTGAAAAAAAAGTTGGGCCAGGCATGGTGGCTCACACCTGTAATGCCAGCACTTTGGGAGGCTGAGGTGGGCAGATCATGAGGTCAGGAGATTGAGACCATCCTGGCCAACAAGGTGAAACCCTGTCTTTACTAAAAATACAAAAATTAGCTGGGCGTGGTGGCGCCCACCTGTAGTTCCAGCTACTTGGGATGCTGAGGCAGGAGAATCACTTAAACCCCAGAGGCAGAGGTTGCAGTGAGCCAAGATAGCGCCACTGCACTCCAGCCTGGGCGACAGAGTGAGACTCTGTCTCAAAAAAAAAAAAAAAAGTCAACTGTAAAATACCCTTGACAGGTCCTTCAGGAGATTTCCAGAAGGCAGCATTAATCACAGAAAATGACAGCTCCATGCATGTTATTGTCCCTGAAAACATTTTAGTGTGACAAGATGTGGAAGTGGGAGACAGTGACAAGGATGATCCTGACCCTGTGGAGGCCCTAGGCTGTGCTATCTTAGCTGTTAACCAAGTTTTGAAAGTTTAAAAAAAAAAAAAATTAAGGCTCACAGAATATGTAATGAGGAAAAATACTTTTGTATATTTGTGTTTTAAGCTAAGTATTATTTTTTGATATCAAGTCTCACTCTATCACCCAGGCTGGGGTATAGTGGCACAATCTCAGCTCACTGCAACCGCTGCCTCCCACCAGGTGCAAGCAATTCTCAGGCCTCAGCCTTCCAAACAGCTGAGATACAGGCACACATTACCAAGCCCAGCTCATTTTCTTTCTTTCTTTTTTTTTTTTTTTTTTTTTTTGAGATGGAGTTTCACTCTTCTTGCCCAGGCTGGAGTTCAATGGCATGATCTCGGCTCACTGTAACCTCTGCCACCCGGGTTCAAGCGGTTCTCCTGCCTCAGTCTCCTGAATACCTGGGATTACAGGCAGGCGCCACCATGCCAGGCCAATTTTGTAGCTTTAGTAGAGATGGGGTTTCTCCAGATCAGTCAGGCTGGTCTTGAACTCCTGACCTCAGGAGATCTGCCCGCCTCGGGCTCCCAAATTGTTGGGATTACAGGTGAGAGCCACCTCACCCAGTCTAATTTTATTTTATTTTTTTTTAAGAGATGGGGTTTCACCAAGTTGGCCAGACTGGTTTAGAACTCCTGACCTCAGATGATCTGGCCACCTGGGCTTCCTAAAGTTCTGGGATTACAGGCATGAGCCACTGTGCCTGGCCAAATCTAAATATTCTCACAAGAGTCAAAAAGTTAAAAAAAAAAAAAAGAGGTTTAAAGTTACAGTAAGCTGGTCAGGTACAGTGGTTCACACCTGTAATCCTGGCACTTTGGGAGGCCAAGGTGAGTGGATCACCTGAGGTCAGGAGTTCAACACCAGACTGGCCAAAATGGCAAAACCCCATCTCTACTAAAAATACAAAAATTGGCTGGGCATGGTGGCTGGCACCTGTAATCGCAGCTACTTGGGAGGCTGAGGCACAAGAATTACTTGAACCCGGGAGGTTCATAGAGCCAAGATCATACCACTACACTCCAGCCTGGACAAGAGTGAGACTCCATCTCAAAAAAATAAAGTTACAGTAAGTTAAGGTTAATTTATTATTTAGAAAATTTTACAGATTTAGTGTAGCTTAAGTGTGCAGTGTTTATGAAATCTACAAGAGTGCAAAGTCACATTCTAGATCTTCACATTCTCTCATCACGCTCACTGGCTCACCCAAAGAACCTTCAATCCTAAAAGCTCCATTTGTGGTTAAGTGCCAGTTACAGGTATATAATTTTTTAATCTTTTATATCATATTTTTACTGTACTTTTTCTGTATTTAGGTACACAAATACTACTGTGTTATAAGTGCCTACAATACCCAGTACCATAATATAATGTACAGGTTTGTAGCCTAGGAGCAACAGGTTGTACCATATAGCCTAGGCATATTGTAATCTATACCATCTAGGTTTGTCTAAGTACACTCTATAATGTTTGCACAAGAATGAAATTAACTAATGATGCACTGGTCATAATGTATTCCCATTATTATGTGACACACGACTCTGTTTGCATATAACCTATGCATATTCTCCCGTATACTTTAAAGCATTTCTAGATTACTAATAGCTAATACAATGTAAGTGCTAAGTAAGTAGTTGTTATACTGTATTATTTAGGGAATAATGACAAGGAAATCAGTTTGTACATGTTCAATACAGATGCAATTTTTCTGAGACTTAACACTCTCAATTGTTTGAATCCAAGGATGCAGAACCTACAAAGGGCCAACTGTATTAATTATCGTTATACTACTAAATTCAGCATTATTATAGAAAAGGATAGCCAAAGAACCATGACATAATCTGAGCATCAATTAGAGCATTCAACAGCGGGAAGTTAAAGCAAGTAGTAAGAAAAATTTAAGGAACAAAAAACAGGGAAGACAGAAATCACGTCACCAAAGAGTTTATTTAGAAAAAGAAAAGTTTATGCCATGTGCAGTGGCTCACACCTGTAATCTCAACACTTTGGGAGGCTGAGGCCGGTGGATCACCTGAGGTCAGGCATTCAAGACCAGCCTGGCCAACATGGTGAAACCCATCTCTACTGAAAATACAAAAATTAGCTGGCCATGGTAGCACATGCCTGTAATCCAAGCTACTCAGGAGGCTGAGACAGGAAAAGTGCTTGAACCCAGGAGCCGGAGGTTGCAGTGAGCCAAGATCATGCCATTGCACTCCAGCCTGGGAGAGTGTGAGAGACTGTCTCAAAAAAACAAAAACAGCCGGGCGCAGTGGCTCACGCCTGTAATCCCAGCACTTTGGGAGGCTGAGGCGGGCAGATCACTTGAGGTCAGGAGTTCAAGACCAGCCTGACCAATATGGTGAAACCCTCATCTTTAAAAAAATAAATAATAAATAAACCAAAAACAAAAAAATACAAAAGGAGTTTATGCTGTTGGCATGCCCGTTATAACAAAAATGAGGAAGGTACTCTATTCTCTGCTAGACACTGATTAGCTTCCTAAACAACCACTAAGCCCACTTATGAATTTACATCATTTTTTAAACCCTTACACAAGCTTTAAGAGCTATTTTTCAAACCTGAACTATGTATGTTATCAGGAGGAACACAACCAAGACTTCACCTTGAACATGGTCACAATCAAAGTAAAAAACCTAGTAACCTATGCACATCTACTTCCATCTTCTTTCTGTTACTTTTTGTTCTTGAGTCTTTTGGTGTAAATGACATTCCCCACTTTTAATGTCTGTCATTTAAATCCCAAAAGCCCTCTCCTTACGGTAAACTTAGGAAAACTATTCTTCAATTTGCACAGCATCCAAATGCATACCTTATGATAACATTTAATGCTTCAAAATCAACAACAGCAGAATGCGTCTCTCCTTTATTAAATAGTATTTCCAATGAATCAATTATACGGGATACCTAAAAAACAAACCAAATAAATACAAATGAAATAAGCCTGAACTGTTTTTTATTGGCATATAGTTAAGAAGACATACACAAAAACTATACTCACCACTTTGCCGACAACTTCAGAGGGAAATGTCTGCTTAGATATCACCCAAAGAGCTCTGGTACGTACATTTTTGTCTGAACTCTTAATGGTATCATTCAGTTTTGAAAGTAGTTCTTGAACATTTGCCTCTGAAAAACAAGCATTTTAATTTTGTACAGAATAGTTGATACTCTTTAAAGTCTGAAGTATAAGAGACTTTTCTCTAAAACAATATACTCATTAATCATAAAATAAATGTATATCCAGAGAATACATCAGAGAACCAATGCTGATATCAAACTTCTCCCCAGAACATAAAATTCAGATTAGAGCGGAAGGTATACTAAGAGAAAATAAACAATAGACACCAAATCAGGTATCTCGTACAACTGAAGTAACTAGATATCACTGTAGATTTTAACATACAAGACAATTTTTGGTAAGATGTTTTCAATCCTGCATCTCTGCTCCAAAATAAAGAACTGCTTTAGGTTGCTAATACTTCCATATATAAAAAAGAACAAGCAGCAGCTTTTCCTTCAAAAAAGATCAGGTAGATCTTTTTACCTCAGCCTTTTGGCCAAGACCAAGTGTAAAAGGTGGTAACAACCTTGACATCTTTATTATATATTCCTAACTTTCCTTCATTAAAGATAATGGTTTCCTTTACAATGGCAATCTGCTAACTATTGAGCAACAGTGCAGACTACTCAGAAACTTGGAGAGCATTAGGTTCTGCGCTTTCATTATCACTTTTAGTTCCAAATTATCTCACATTTACCGTTATGTCAAAGAACTTTTCAATTCAGCATATTCCTTAGTGCTTGTTCCTGAACAGAAGTTTCCATTTTGGCTAGGCGCAGTGGAGACAGGGTTTCACCATGTTGGCCAGGCTGGTCTCTAACTCCTGACATCTTGATCCGCAGGCCTCGACCTCCCAAACAGGTCGGATTAGAGGTGTGATCCACCAAGCCTGGCCTAAATACCTCTTATTTTTAACAGCACATTTTGCAGTATCAAAGTTAGGGCTTATGTGTAGGTGATGATAATCTAAATATTGTTTCTTAAAAGCCAATCTTTAACTACAGGTTCTGAAACTAATCCAGAGATAACGGTACTTTTGACAGCATCAAACTATTAATACTTGAAATTTATACTTCCTTTATACTCTAAAAATATTAATAGCCATAAGAAATGTATCTACCTGATAATTCTGAGGTAATTTTGGGATTATATAAGCAAAACCCCAGGGCTTGTAGCGCAGCACTACTCAGCTCTGAGTTCTGACTGGAAATGTGAGTCTACAAAAAACAAAATCATTTATTACACACAAGCACAAATATAAATTAATTTTTAGAAAGCACAAGCAAATTTATCATTCTACTCCAATCAACAAATCCTTGAGAATGGGCATAAAAAATAAAAATAAGAAATAAGATCAGAAGGCCATGCATAATACAGCTTGGTAAAGAAAGGAGAAGGAACTGGATAGAGATCAACTAAATGAAGATAAAGGCTATCTCCACACCTACGAAGGCAAAGAAGAAGAGGTCGACAGATGAAAGATGCTAAAGACATGACAGTGAAAAAGGAGCAAGGTCCTCCAGAGTAAGCAAGTGACTCAAATGCAAAAGCTAACAGCTTTAGAGTGTAGTGACATCTCTTTCTCTAAGACTGGAAGAAAGAAGGGGCTAAAATGAAAACGATATTACCTGAATAGTAAAATAAAAAATGTTTCTAAACCTTATTTTATAGATAAGAGAATTTCAATCCACGCAAATCTAGAATTTTTTTTTTTTTTGACAGAGTTTTGCTCTTGTTGCCCAGGCTGGAGTGCAATGGCAAGATCTCAACTCACTGCAACCTCCGCCTCCCCAGTTAAAGAGTAGCTAGAATGACAGGCATGTGACTCTACGCCTGGATAATTTTTTATATTTTTAGTAGAGATGGGGTTTCACCATGTTGGCCAGGCTGGCCTCGAACTCCTGACCTCAGATGATCCACCATCCTCATCCTCCCAAAGTGCTGAGATTACAGGCGTGAACCACCGTGCCCAGCTGTCAATCCAGAATTTAAAGCCCAACTCATACTATGTATATAAAAGCCCAAACCTGTCAAATAGGGTCTCAATATGAAGGTTTACTTTTATACTGTAGCCCCTTTTCCTTGTACCATTTCCTACTTCAAAGGGATTTACCTTCAAAATCCCCCATATCTATTTGAATCAAATATCCAAGGAATCCTCAATTGTTATTACTGAGCAGAAAGAATAACAAATGTTAATGGTTAAACATATAAGCAGATACTTCCCTGCAATGTCTTCTATAATTATACAAAATGAAGCCAGAAAAAAAAGCAAATCCTTCTGTACAGAATGTAAGAGACATAGCACAGCAGCAACCAGTTGTAAGCAACTAAGTAAGGCTTAATACTTTGAGAGCTACTACTCTATCTCCTGGATAATAGCTACTAAATGTCTGTGATGAATTTTTATTAAACATATTTACTTGAATGTGTTCCTTAACAATGTGTCTCATTTTCAAGAATGTCCTGGGTTCCTAGATACAATTCTAGCTGAATTCTAAACACAAATAGAAACATGTTGTTTTAGGTAGTATAGTTCCTACTCTGAAAGAACTCAATTATCCTTTCATTGCTTAAAATTGATAGGGAAAGCTTCTGCTTATTATCGTCCCATAATCGAACTTCCATGTGCATCCAAATAACTTCAGGTACAAAATCTATTTACAAACAATGCAACTGGATTTAAAATGTAAGCAATAAGGCCAGGGCGGTGGCTCACGCCTGTAATTCAAGCACTTTGGGAGGCTCATGCCTGTAATCCCAACAATCTGAGAGGCTGAGGCAGGTGGAGGTTGGGAGTTGGAGACCAGCCTGACCAACCCGAAGAAACCCCATCTCTACTTAAAATACAAAATTAGCTGGGTGTGGTGGTGCATAGTTGTAATCCCAGGTACTGAGGAGGCTGAGGCAAAAGAACTGCCTGAACCTGGAAGGCAGAGTTTGCTGTGAGCCGAGACAGCACCCACTGCACTCCAGCCTGGACAAGAGCGAAATGCCGTCTCAAAAAAAAAAAAAAAAAAAGGATGCGATAGAGTTCCTGATCCTATAAATACTACATATATAAAAGTGCATGTCTTCACACGTATTACTATAATGTGGAATATAAGAAAATAGAACATTGATATTATTTAAGTAACTAGTATACAATAAAATTTCTGCTTACACAAACAAAAAATGTTGATGACTATGACAACGCTTAGAGCAGTATCTCTGTTAACATTTAGCCACAAATCATGTTAAAATAAATGTTTGGATGAAACACTTGTTTAAAGGCACACGGCCAGGCACCGTGGCACACCTGTAATCCCAGCACTTTGGGAGACAGACGTGGTGGATCACCTGAGGTCAGGAGTTCAAGACCAGCCTAGTCAACATGGTGAAACCCCTTCTTTACTAAAATTATAGCCAATGTGTGGGGCATGCCTGTAATCCAAGCTACTCTGGAGGCTGAGGCAGAAGAATGGCTTGAACCTGGGTGGCGGAGGTTGCAATGAGCTGAGATTGTGCGACTGCATTCCAGCATGGGCCACAGAGCAAGAATATCCAAAGGAAAAAAAAAGGCAGCACAAAAGCTGGGCATGGAGAGGCAAATACCACTAATCTCAGCTACTAAGGAGGCTGAGGTGGGAGGATGGCTTGGAGCATAGGCAACCTATCAAGGCCCACATCTCAATTTTAAAAATTAGAAGCAAAAATAAAAGCACAAGAACAAGGTCATAAAGATGTGAATTCAAGGGGGTGGGAAAAAATAAAAATAAAAAAGAAGATGAGAATTCAAACAAACGAGATAAAGTTCAACTTTTTCATTCTAAAAACAAGGAAATTTAAAAGATGTTAAGGAAGGTCAGGAAGCCACTGAGTAGGCAAGTGAGGACAAGAACACAGGTCCTTAGTTTGATGTCAAACATTTCCCTAAAGCAAAAAAGATGATGGTTGTAGCAAATACTGAGGGTGAATGAGGAAAAAGAAAATGCTACCTACAAAGTAGACCAAAGACAATTATAATTTTAGAATCACTTAGAAGTAGATTCCCAAAAGGAAAGACACACTAATCTGATCCCTGCTTTCAAAATCACACTCAGATCAAGTGCCCTAAGGCAACTTTAGGCAAATTAAACTAATTTCTTCACCTGCAAAGTGATGGTTAAAAACCAATCTCATGGAAATATTGAGAGTTAAGTGAGAAAGAATGTAAAGTAATAAAGTACCTGGGAAGCTTTAAGTAACAATAAAGACTATTATAATCAGTCAGTATTATTGCTGTTATTTTAGTTGACTCATAATGAGTCAACTGGCAAAACTTTTAAAAACCACCCAAAGTGAAAACCTCTTTAATAAACAGATACATACCTTTAAAACTTTGTACAGCCGAGGAAGTTTTTTCTCAATTTCTATAATTACTTCTTTTCCTTCTTCTCCAGTCATACGACTTAAAAAAGCAGGAAGAACACCAGTTGAAGTAGGTGACAGGAACAAAAAAGGACTTACTCCTATAATACCTGTACGATCTTTTCAAAAAGTACTTTCGAACTCTTGTAAATGAACTGACCCAGTAGGTAAGGTCCTTAAGGGTATACAGAATATATAATGCAATGCGTATCAGGAATAAAAGTAGAAAAACCCTCAGAATAACTTTTTACATCCAGTGTATGCAAGTTGTGACAGCCTGACTACAAAAAGAACGGGGATCCCTATCCCTCGTTACTAACGACTTACTAAACCTTTATAAAAGGTTTACAAAAGCTTTGTACATTTCTTTGAAAATAATTTTGAAGCATTTTGCAATAAAATCAGTTTATTGCTGTTAAAAAGGCAACTCTAGGTGGCCACATTTTCCCAATACATCGGAGGTTTACACTGAAAACCCCTCCTCCAACACCCACTTCCAACCAAAACTTTTAAAAATCCCTCGCTTGCAAAACACACGTGCATGTTCCCTCGTTCCAAACGCAAACCTCAAGCGCAGCAGCAGCACCAGCTGCTGCACCCGGGAATGTTACCTAGGATACATCTCCCCCGCCCCCAACGCGTCTGTGACTCCGGCGTCCTCACCTCTGCCAGACTTCTAAAACTCACATTCACTCTTCGCGCCCCTCCCAACTTCTTTCTCCCCACCCTAGAAAGCGCACCCCACCCCCAAGCACGCCCCACGACGGACCTCACCTGGTCAGAGTCAGGTAAGCGTCGGTCTGCTCTCCATGGGAGGCAGAAGAGTCTTCCAAAGTCTCCAACAGCGGCGCGAGGGGGCTCTGACCCCTGTCCGTCATGTCGGCCACCCTGAGGCCCGGACCGGAAGAGGAGAAAAATCCAGTGACCGATGGAAACAGCCCCGCGGCGGCCCAGTGTGAGTCCGGCCCTCACACCCGCCCGCCAGCCCCGGCCTCACAGCCACGCCGCGTCTGCACCCCAGGCCTGCGAAGCACCAAACGCCAGCGCGAACCTCCTCAGGCGCCCGGCCTCAGGCACCTGAGCCCACACCACATTCGGGCCTGGGCCCGCTCCCGCCACCACTTTCCCGGGCAGCTTTCAACAGAGGGAGGAGACAGGCGGGGGGCGGGAGAAGCCAGGGGACCGAGGCGTCTCGCCGCAAGGGGGCGGAGGCTGTGCAGACTGAGGGCTCCGCGCGGCCTACCACTGTGACCCCAATATTTATCCCACCTACGAAGACAGGACAAGGTCCTCTCCGCCTCTGCCCCTCGGAACCCGGACGCTGCCAGAGCTCGACTTTCCCGGCTCAGGCTGTTTACTCACGCGTGCGGCGCGCTCCCTCCTAGACCAAGATGGCGGCGGGGCGGGCCCAGGAGTGCGCGGGAGTAGTTAGGCCTGGCGGGAGAAGTTCGAGCCAATCCAACAGTCAGCGGCGCACCGGAGTTATCGATCGCCCCCCCCACCCCCGCCCCGCGCTTCCATTCCGTTTCCTGCCCAGCTGCGGCGTCTTACTCCTCAGTTCAGCATCAGGTGGTGGTGTTTTGCCTAAAGCGAGGGACTTGAAATTGAAAATGTGAATTAATTGCTCACACTCACGAGACTGAACTTAGTGGGACTTCACAGTAAGTCTCCAAACTCCAAGTCCAGTGCTTGTTGAAGTTTTAGCAACAAATCAGTTAACAAAAGGAGATGACGTACTGTTAGGTTTAAGACTAAGAGCTGGCCAGGCGCGGTGACTCAAGCCTGTAATCCAAGCACTTTGGGAGGCCGAGGCAGGCGGGCGGGCGGATCACCTGAGGACAGGAGTTCTAGACCTGCCTAGCCAACACATAGTGAAACCCCTTCTCTACTACAAAAGAAAAAAAAAAAATTAGCTTGGCGTGTGTCGCACGCCTGTATTCCCAGCTACTCGGGAAGCTGAAGCAGGAAAATCGCTTGAACCCAGGAGGCGGAGGTTGCAGTGAGCTGGGATCGTGCCACTGCACTCCAGCCTGGGCGGCAGAGTAAGACACGAGAAAAGGTTGGAGAGGCCAACGGTTCTCTAGACGTCAGCGTGCACGACAATGGTCTGAGGATATTCGTTATTAAATTGCAGATTCCTGGGCCCCACCCTTATGCATTCTAATTCAGTAGATTTAGGTAGCTCCCGAGGATGTGCATTCTTCTGTTAGCCCCCCGGGGGTTTGAAGGGTGAGATTTGGCTAGGGCTTCTTCTCAAGAGAAACTTCAGTAAACACAATGACAGTCCTTCTAGTTATTGTTAATATGCTGCTCCCCTTTTCATATGTCTTCGAGCCCTCTCCACAACACTTGAAGCCCAGCAGCAATAGAACTCTCCACGCTAGCATCATGGGTTCCTAGCCCAGGATTTGAGCCCTCACTCAAATGTGCTACAACACTCAGCTCTAGTAGGGTGTTGCTTTTTGCTCTTCTTTGTGTCATCTGCACTTAGCAGAATGACTGCCAAACCAAGCAGTCCATACATAGCATGCTTCTTTATGTGTGTGTGTGTGTATATATATATATATATATTTTTTTTTTTTTTTTTGAGACGGAGTCTCACTCTGTCGCCAGGCGCCAGGCTGGAGTGCAGTGGCACAATCTCGGCCTACTGCAACCTCCGCCTCCTGGGTTCAAGTAATTATCCTGCCTCAGCCTCCTGAGTAGCTGGGACTACAGGCGCATGCCACCATGCCCAGCTAATTTTTGTATTTTTAGTAGATAGGGGGTTTCGCCATGTTGGCCAGGATGGTCTCGATCTCTTGACCTCGTGATCCTCCTGCCTCGGCCTCCCAAAGTGCTGGGATTACAGGCTTGAGCCACGGCGCCCAGCCTAAATATATTTATTTTTGAGAGGGAGTCTCACTCCGTCACTTGTCCAGGCTGGAGTACAATGGCGTGATCTCACCTCACTGCAACCTCCGCTTCCTGGGTTCAAGCCATTCTCCTGCCTCAGCCTCTCCAGTAGGTGGGATTACAGGCGCCTGCCACCACACCTGGCTAATTGTATTTTTAGTAGAAACGGGGTTTCTCCATGTTGGTCAGGCTGGTCTCAAACTCCCGACTTCAGGTGATCCACCCACCTCGGCCTCCCAAAGTGCTGGAATTACAGGAGTGAGCCACCACGACCAGCCGCCATATCATGCTTCTTAAATGAAACAATGAAGGAAGAGAGAAGCAGACATGCAAGGTCTTGGGAGCCAATCTATGGAAATTAAAGGCTTTTTAAAATGGTGAAGAGTTGTTTCAGGGTGAAATTTAGAGACCCTATGGTAGTAACAAGTGACAAAGGTTTTAAGTGCAGTGTGTAAAATGTTCTTTAATCTTCAGAGGGAAATTTGCTGATCATTTTGGGAGCTTTGGGAAGTCAGCACAGATATTTAAGAAGGACATTAAGTTAGATAATGATAAAATATGGGGACAGATTTGCAACATTTAGAATTCAAGATAATGACGCTGTTGTGTTGGAAAATAAGACATCTTGAAACCCTATTGTGTGGTAACTATGAGATTAGTGGAAAGAACATTGAGTTTGCCTTGAAGCAAGTTCCTCCACCCAATCATTGTGTACCTTACCTTGCTTTGAATTTGTTCTTTCTAGCACTTAGCACTATCTAATATTATATATGTGATTTTTTAAATTGTCTTCCTCTACCCATTGGAATATAAATTCTATGAGAATAGGGACTTTGCTTTATTTTTTTTTCATAATTTTCCATTTATAATTAAAGGACTAGGGTGGTCATGTTGCTTGTACTTCTTCCATATGTATAGTTCTTTGATCTTCCAAAAATGTTATGTTTTAAATTTTATTATTTTTAAAGATGGGGCCATGCTCTGTTGCTTGGGCTGGAGTGCAATGATTGTGACTTACTGCAGCTTTGAACTTCTTGGGCCCAAATGATTCTCCTGCCTCAGCCTCAGAAGTAGCTCAAGCATGTCATGTAAGATTTTAACCATTGTCATTCCTGTGCCTAAAATTCTCCCATAATTCCCATCAGTAACAGGATGGATTTCAAAACTTGGCATAACATGCAAGCCTATCATGATTGGGCCACTGCTTATTCTTCATCTCTAGATTATTCCCACTTCATCAGATTCTGAACAGTAGGCTAAGATCTCCAGGTTCTCTGTGTCTTTGAAGACTTTTATTTAGAACAGGTATTTAGAATATTAATTACCTTCTTCATGAGTAATAAATAGACTGGGCATGGTGGCTCACACCTGTAATCCCAGCACTTTGGGAGGCTGAGACAGGTGGATTGTCTGAGCTCAGGAGTTTGCAACCAGCCTGGGCAACTGGGTCTCTACTGAAATACAAAACATTAGCTGGGCATGGCAGCATGCACCTGTAGTCCCAGCTACTCGGGAGGTTGAGGCAGAAGAATCGCTTGAACCCGGGAGGTGGAGGTTGCAGTGAGCTGAGATTGAGCTACTGCACTCCAGCCTTCTTAAAAAAAAAAAAAAAAAAAAAGTAATAAATAAGAGTCAGGTGGCTCACACCTGTAACCCCAACACTTTGCGAGGCCTAAGTGGGTGGATCACCTGAGGCTGGATCACACGAGACTGGCCTAATATGGTGAAATCCTATCTCTACTAAAAATACTGAAAATTAGCCGGGCGTGGTGGTGCATGCCTGTAATCCCAGCTACTCAAGAGGCTGAGGCAGGAGAATTGCTTGAACCTGGGAAGTGGATTCAAGCCAAGATTGCCCCGCTGCATTCTAGCCTGGGCCACCGAGCTAGACTCCATCTAAAAAAAAAAAGTCAACTAAAATCACAACTTTTTGTGAAATGTTTCCCTCATCTACTCTCCAGCCACACACATTCTCTTCATAGAGAATGAAATGCTTCTTCCTCTCTGCTATCTTGCTATAGATCTGATAAAATTCATATCTCATTAGTTTATTATTGTTTGCCTATAAGTGTTTGAGGGCAGTGGCAGAGTTGAGAGTTAGCCTGAGGGGAATTAGTTCCATCTGTAATCTCACTCATCAGTGCCCCTTCCTGCTATTTAACATTTTCTCAATCTGAACTAGTGTACTAAGGAATTACAGAATGAAAACAAATGCCCTTCCCCACCTAGACCCTCTTCACACACCCTTCCAACTTGATTGCTAGCCCAAAATTTTACTTTTATAGAAATTCCCTATGAATTTCTGAAGAATTTTTTATAGCTACCATCTGCTATCAATGGATAATAAATTCATTGTTTAGTGAAGTAAACAGAAAAAAAAAGAAAAAGTAAATCAATAAATTCATACTACCTAGCATTCCATAAATATAATTTGAAATAATTTGTTCATATATTAATTCATCCTTCCAACTAATATACAATTTCTATTTTTCCCTCTCTAAATCCTGTATCTCTTCTCCCCAGATCATCTTCCCTTTCTGGATGAAGAGCCTTATATCTGCAGTCTAATATTTCTTTCTAACTTGCTTATTCATGTTTTTTGTTTTTTATGGTTTTATGTATTTATTTATTTTTGTTGCGACAGGGAGTTGCTTTGTCATCCAGGCTGGAGTACAGTGGTGCAAACATGGCTCACTGTAGCCTCTGCCTCCTGGGATCAGGTGATCCTCCCACTTCAGCCTCCTAAGTAACTGGGACTACAGGCATGTACCACCATGCCTGGCAAATATTTATTTTATTTTTTGTAGATGTGGGGTCTTGCTATGTTGCCTAGGCTGGTATCAAATGCCTGGGCTCAAGTGATCCTCCCACCTTAACCTCCCAAAGTACTGAGATTACAGTTGTGAACCACCATGCCCCGCCTCATTAACCACACATTCCTCAACAAACCTCAAGCCTATAATCTATATCTATCAATGACTCCTTTCTCTCACTTGTCCCCAGTGGTCCTGATGATTCTTCCTTGTCAAAATTCTTAGATCTACCCAATATTTATCTAGGATCCCAACTTATAGCCTAAATACACCTAAACCTATTATTTCAGGGTTAGAACATTGCTTAAAAAAAATAAAAATTTTTATTGAGTGCCTGGTGCCGTATATGTATTATCTTTTTTTTTCTTTTTGAGTTCTCCAGCCTGGAGTGCAGTGGCACAATCTCAGCTCACTGCAACCTCAAATGTTGCAGTGTTCAAGTGATTCTCATGCCTCAGCCACCCAAATAGTGAGATTTTGGGATTTCAGGTGTGCAGCGCTATGCCCAACTAATTTTTGTATTTTTATCAGACACAGGTTTCACCATGTTGACCAGGCTGGTCTGGAACCCTTGACCTCAAGTGATCCACCCGCCTTGGCCTCCCAAACTGCTGGAATTACAAGTATTTGTAATTCACCACACCCAGTTAATACAAGCATTATCTCATTTATTTATC